ATCGACCCAAACACGAAGTTCGCGACCATCAGCAACGTACGGCAGGCCCAGATTAAGGCTGGCGATGTCATCAATGATACAGATGAATCCAGTGCCTCTGAGTACCCTAGTGAGGCCGAAAGCTGTATAATAGTGGCAGAGTTGCCCAGTTGATAGTTGATTAATAAAGTGGTGGTTGTTGTAATGGCATCATTTTTTGGGTGGGCCAGAAGCAGGGGTGGGCCAGAAGTGGGTGCTTTGACTTATTTGCCTAACGTTCTGGCGCCCGAGCCTTTGAGAACGCTCTTATGGCGCGGCACCATCAAGCCCAACATAAAGCTTGTAACCAAACAACTCAGTAGGATCGTTAAACCTTGCTTGCTGATCCATCTTTCCAATCTGCTGCAAGTCCTCTTCGTCTAGGGGATTAGAGTCTGCCTCTAGATTCTCCTTGATCTGCCACTCGATTGTGCTCTTCGGGATGACACAGCGACCATTCACTACACCCCATGCCAACGCAATCTGAATCGGCGACTTCCTGTGTTTCTTTGCAATTGCATGAAGAATCGGGTGATCAATCAAACGAGCCATCTGTGCCATATCCTTGGCCCAGGAAACGTCCCGATAGAAAGTGTTGAGATTGCCGCTGGGGCTGAACTGCATGATCTTGATTCCCTTGCTTTCCTGCCAGTCGACGAACCTTTTTTGCTGTAGGTAAGGATGAAGCTCGGTTTGGTGGATAGCCGGAAGCTGTGAGATAAAGAGTTAGAATGTGAAGATACTGAACGCCATGATGGCCTGTAAATCAGGCGTAATGACGGATTTCCGTTTACTTACGACGCTACACTCCTCCAAGATTCGCTCCAATTCTAGCTGACTGAAGTTGGATACACCAATGGCTTTGACTTTGCCAGTTAAAAGCAATTTCTCCATGGCTTTCCATGTGTCCACGAAATCAGTTGAGTCAGGAATCATCTTCCCATCAGGCCCAATCGGCATAAAGTCAGGACCACGCTTGAAGGCACAGGGGTAGTGCATAAGGTATAGATCAACGTAGTCGACGCCCAAGTCCCTCAAAGAATCGTCTAAGGCGGGCTCCACGTCATCCGGGTGGTGAGAGTTGCACCAGAGCTTGGTTGTTATGAAGATCTCGTCGCGGCTCACTCCGCTGCGTCTAATCCCTCGTCCAACTTGCTCTTCGGTGCCATAGCTGGGAGGTAAGAGGGATCAGTTTCCATCTTGAAACTTAGAAAATTGACCAAAGCAAATGAACCTACTTGTGCGCTGTGTCGATGTGGCGATAACCGTTCTTCAGAGCAGTGTATACAGACATTTCCTGCTCTTCAGGGTCTTGGAATGTCTCAAGACCAATGGAAGGCAAGATCTGACCTGTGTTCAAGGTAACAGTCCTGCCCTTGTAGCGCGCCATGCCGGTAGCTGTTGCCATTGCTCGGAAGCTAAACATATGGGTTTGATTTGTGAATGGGATTGACCTCCGCTGTTGGATGGCGGGCTTCATGAGTGCAGAAAACGATTTAGCCCATCGTTGGGAGCTGGAAAGGGCAGAGTTCATTGTTGGGCGTTGGTGTGGATTACCTCCAACGATTGTTTCTGGATGAAAGTTTGTGATAAATCGTGCGCTTTCGTCTAAGTTGATACTCAAAGTTGATGCTCTGAATCACGTGAGCAATAACACGTCACAATAAATCAGCAGTGATTTGGTACTTTGACTCTGCAATACTACTAATTGAAAAAGCGAGAGCGCGATACCTTGCGAGGTAAGAGACGATCATTGCCTAATGGAGCAATTTTGGGACGGCGCCCAGCTGACACGACAGCATCCACATTGAAGTCAGAAATCGACGCGTACACCAAGAACCTGAAATGGAAAGCTTTTACGCCGAAAGAAGCCCTAATTTCGGCTACAATTTCATGAGTTATCATTTCCTCATTTAGTCTTGTGATTATGGAGGAGGAAGTTGGAAGAGTCTTGGCACAAGTTGCTAGCTACAGCCGAAGATGCTGTTTCGAGGAACGCCGCTGTCATTTTATCCCAACAAGGACCCTCGGGTTAATGGACATACAGCCGAAATCCAGAAAGTTCCTATACCTATTTGAATTCCTTACTTAGGACCCCAACATGAGGTAGTCAGTTCGACGTTTTGCCTTATGCCGTAGCACGGACGAATCTCTCCCACGCCTCTCTTTGCTGCACTGTCAATTTCAGCCACAATCTTTGAAAGCTAAACGGAAAACATGTCGAGGTCTCTCAATCCTATGAATGGAGGCGACTTCATTCACGACGATGAACGGAAGTTGGACGGTGGCTCTGTATTGTCCAGACTTTCCCTTGCCAACAAGACAGCTATTATCACTGGTGCAGGTGGCGGAATCGGATACTCGGTGGCCGTTGCATATGCAGAAATGGGATGCAACATTGCCATATGGTACCATACAAACAGAGAGGCGCCGAAAAGGGCAGAAGAGCTTTCTGAGAAGTACAAAGTCAAATGTGAGTGGATCAGCTTACGTCTAGAGCGAATGATCACCCTCTTTTGAACCCTACACAAAAACGGAAACATTGACCTGACCTCGTATCTTAGGCAAGGCATACCAGGTTGATGTCAGGTTGTGGGAGGCTGTGGAGAAGGCCACCGACCAAGCCGTCGCAGATCTGAACGGTCGTCTCGACATCTTTGTTGCCAACTCCGGTGTCCCGTGGACCCAAGGCCCCATGATTGATGCCCCCCTCGAACAATACAAAGACGTCATTCAAACGGACCTCGATGGTGTGTACTACTGCGCCAAAGCTGCCGCAAAGCACTGGCGACGCCAGAAGCTGGAAGGGACGGATGTTGTTGGGAAACCGTTGGACAACTTCAATCGCGGAAGCTTCATTGCGACGGCTTCTGTTAGTGGTGTGCTGGCGAATGTCCCGCAGTTCCAGGCCTGTGACAATGCAGCCAGAGCTGGCGTCATTCACCCCCTAATCTCGTACATAAGAAGAAGTGTCTCGCACACATCAAGTATATTATGATGCAATGCATTTCGTGGCGCCGTACTGGTTGTGGATAGGTGGTGGCTACTAGTTCTCACTTGCTAGATGTTTCAGCAGCCTTCTCAAAACGGGAATAACCATGCATGATTTCGTCAGCTTTGACGTATCCCATTCAGCTGAAGCCAAGCAATGATCAGCAGGCTTTCAACGGAGGCTTTGTAGGGCTAAGGGCCGTCTTTGAGACCAGGCTCCCAAGTACGCGAAGGCCTGTAACATACATTACACGCGCGTCTCGCATCAAAATCTAGGTTTGTTCCTCTCATACACTCCACCTGGCTCGTCTTCTTTTACTTCTTCATTTGATGAGAGATGTATCATCTTGGCGACGAATCACATTATCTACCGACTCTAGCCAGAAGTCTTCACCCGATGAAATGGGGTACCTAGAAGACCTAGAAAGTCTCTGCTACACAAAGCCAGAGAAGCTGGAACCGAACCCCGATGTTGGAGGTATTGGGGTAAGTTTACCGCCAGGTCGGCATATGACTTCCTGTGATCGTTTATTAATCTAAACGTTCTAGGTTTTGATTGGATTCATCTGCACCGCATGGTTCGTGCTGTTGCTCGCATTCGTACGTTACGCTGTTGCGTTCGATCCCAACGCGAATCCCTTCCAGAACAAGGACAACATCACACGGGCTATCTCAGGTAGCACAAATAAGCAGGAAGCAAATCCAGTTGATGAGCATGTCATTGGAATGAGATTGTTCCAATGGTTACGCCAACGCCCCTGGTTTGGAAGCCCGGCAAGATGGGAGGATGCATTGAGAAAGGTGGGTACCATTACCTTATGCTCCATTGGCTACATTGCAGTGATCGTTCTGACTTGGCTTATGCGATGTGCAACTCCTCACGGGTTTGGGTATTCTTGTCAGCGGATCCATCAATATGGGACTCGACAAGATGTCTGCTTACCATTGGCACGTGGTTGTTTACCTCGCTTGGTTCTCAAATTTGACACACATCGCGTGTCTAACTATTTTACGAGCATACCTCCACCAACACCAAAATGAACGGAGGTGGCGATTAGGACTCATGCTCGTCTTATGGATCTTACTTCTAGTGGCGATTGGGCCTACGCTGTGGATGAGCTGGATGGTCCATGATCGCACTGACGGAGGCTTGCCGAGATCCAACGCGCGATGCTTCTTCCATCCGTCCGTGGCATCGAAAACCATTCAATGGAGGAAATGCGAATACATATTCGATGAAGCTGCAGATTGTGTGGCGGCCGGCAAGTACGGTGATAACTTTTTGAGTTCAACTGAAGGGTTTCACTCCGCAGTAACGTCAATCGTTCTGACTGTGTTCACATTCTTCACACGGATGGCTAAGATTATTCAAAAATGGTCGACCATTATTAGGCGGAATGTCAGGTCAAGGGTTAACAAGTTTGACATAAGAGGCATTTTGTCTCTGTTGCAGAAGCCCCACATGGGGTGGAAAGCCAGACTTTGGACTTTTATCTTATTTCTCCGAGTAGCGATAAACTTGACAGCAAGTCTCTATGCTGATCTCGTATCCTCCGAGCTCTCAGATGTACGTATTTGTTCATGAGATATGGACATTGCAAGGTATCCCGTGGCTTTGGCACTAACGAATTAATGTCTCTGTTAGGTCTACTGGCTGCTTGTTTCTGCGGTTTGGGGCACTTTACGCATCATTGGCGTGCGAGGCTCTGTCACAGTCGATGAGGATTCGTGGGAATTTGGGCAGATACTACCTGTGTTCTTGCTCATTGGACCGATAATGACAACGGTATTACCAATCATAGCCAGTAGACCTGTGGTAACGGGAACTCCAGGCTTGCTTGTCTCGACTGCCATTGGATCACATTTCGAGGCTCAATGGGCGTCACAAGCTCAGGCCGAATTCAATGCTGCAGAGTGTCATAGAATGAGACAACTGACTACACAATCGACTCTGTCCCACAACACAATATTGGTATCCTGGGAGAGCGTGGAAGCCTCAGCAGAACCCACACAAGTACCAGGTAATTCGTCAATGCCTTTGTCCAGGTTTTTGATGTCTACACGAAGCACAGATTCGATGTCGGCCGACGTGACTGCGGAAAAGGTCGACGACCAGCTGAGGTCGCACTACAGACAGGACCAATGGATGGAACAGGTCACCGTTCTAGCCTGTCTGCAAGTGGTTCCTGTAACGGTTATGATTGTTCTAGGTATAAGTGGACTCAGCAACGCACTCTTTATCACGATATCGTACGCTACAAACATACTCCTGCTTCAACCCCTCAACTGCTTATTTGCAGTGCTTTTCGACCTAATTTCCCCAAAAGATCATCTGTTTCGCAAGCACATTCTTGGGCTATCTGTTATAGTCTGGCTTCTCCTGCTGATTGCCATTCTGCCGTTGGCATTGTCGGAAAGGTACGGCTACGACCTAGGCATGCAACTTGGGAGATTAGGTTGCTTGGGGGTTATTTTGTTCCTCACCTCCAAAGTTACCCAAAGACTGAGAGACCTTGGAAGAGCGCATCACGCCGTAGATAATGCCTAGATTGCGAAAAACACACACCTGGCATGATTAAAAATAGCACAACGATTTATAGCACAATGCATCGGTGGTTTGTGCTTCCCAAAGACGTTACATATGAACTGCACTTGATGCGAATTTTCTTGTCAACATATTGGACGGTAGAATTTCACAGTTCTGGCAGTTTGATACATCAACCAGAATCTACCGCTTCTTTCCCTTAGTCTTATCCACCAGGTCCATCCACCTCTTCTCAACACCTCTCTTCTCTAGCGCCTTGACCACTGCGGCCTGTTGCGGCCCCTGTACCATGATCTCCATGACCTGTGCCTCAGTCTTCTTCGCCGCACCAGCCAGCGGCTCAACGCTTGTAGACCCAGCGCAGACCTTTCTCAACTCGTCAGCCAGCGGCTTCGGGCTGATGTGGTATGGTTCCAGCCCGGACACTTTAGTGACAGTCTTGTTGCCGCTCCTTGTCTCGAGGGTAATGTGGATCTTTGGGGGCGACCCGCTTCTGGCCTTGACGCTGCTTGGGTCTGTCCCGTTCTGGACGATCGCGTATGATGTGGCCATCCCGCTCAAGACCCTGTCGATGAGAGCATCTCGGGCGACAGTGCCCTTGGCGAGGGCGTCCTTGTCAGCTGCTCCAGAGCCAGTGAACACGCCATTAGCGAGTATCGGGTTGAGCTTGACGATTCGCTTGTTCGTCTCAGACACCAAGTTCTCGCCTTCGATGTAGGTAGTCACGGCATCGCGCACTTCTGACTGAGTGAACAGCGACTTTGAGGCCGAGTCGAAGATGGGTTGAAGTTTGGATGTGGGCTTAAAGTACGAAACAATCTTCAGCTTCTGTCCCACCGCGTCGTCACCAACATCGACCTTGCTCGTGGCAGTCTCGCCGCGACCAAGTGATGTGCCGCCAGCCGTCTCCTTCTTGGGTAGGCGATACGGTTTGAAATCAACAATCGCGGGGTTCTCGAACTTGACTTCCGTAACAACCGTCTCCTGCCCTTTCTCTTTGCTCTTCAGAAGCCCCTCTTTATCGAGACTCTTGATGAATTTCTTGATGTTCTTCCACGATGTCTTCTTGATTTGCAGTTGCTGTGCTTGCTGTGGTGTATGCGCCGGCAAAAAGGGCTGAATGAGGGTCGACATGACATAAGACTGGGACAGTGGGAAGACGAGGCCGTAGTTGGGTGGTGAGTTTGAAGACTTGTGTTGGTGGATGCCGAAAAGGAATGACTTGCGGAACGCCTCATCGATCTCGGGCTGTGTGAAGTCGGGGATATCGTCTTCGGGTGCTGCTGGTCCGGCGTCTTTGGGGGTAGTGTCGTCTCCAAGAGAAACCCCTCCATCCTCATCTGGGTCATCCAGCGACAGCCCGCTCAAGCTCTCAACCAGTCCACGCGCCTCCAGGACCTTCAACCATCCCGCAATCTCCTCCGGAGCCTTCCTGCCCGGCTTGTTGTCGGTGCTGAACCCCCACATCTCGTCGCCGGCCCAGTGCAAATTCTTGACAGCATGGCCCTTCGCACCCCGCACGTTCTGCAGCGCGCTGACGTCGATCTCACACGCTCCCACCGCAACGGGCACCGACGGGTTCTCCAAGCTCGCGATGGCGACGACGGCACCCTTCTTCGCCTTCTCGGGGAACGGCGGCCCGCCGAACAAGCCGGGAGTCATCAGATCGGCGCCCCCCTGAAGCTTTTTCACGACGATGCCCGGGGTGTGGAGAAGCGGGACGATATCGGGATTGGCCCAGAGAGTGTACACCGTGGGGTAGACGACGCCTTCCATCTGGAACCACAGAACGCGGGGCTCCTCGCCATCGTGGCTGCCGACGTAGTAGGTGCCGGAGGTCGGCTTCAGATCGGGGCCGTAGGTGGTGGTGAAGCGGGCAGACTGGAGGTTGTCGGGGAACAGAGATTTTCGGAGATTGGTCTGCACGGCGAGCGCTTCCGCCTTTTGCTCTGGTTTTTGCTCGTCCGTGGTTGCCACGAGCTTGGAGTCGAGGCTGTAGTCCTTGATGACCTGATCTGCGAGCTTCCTACGGTCGGAGGACCGCAGGGGTGAGAGAGATTTCACCGTGGGCTTCTTCTTGAACATTTTCGCAAGATCGCTGGTTGCGGTCGGCAGGTTGTTGGGTGAGTGATCGGGAAGTGGTGAATGAGTCCACTCAAATACAGCGTCTCAAAGGGACCTCAGCGGCTGACGTCATCCGCCAAACGCTCCAGTGAGATGGTCATTGCGTAATAATTTCGCGGTATTTGTTTTTCAGGGCAAAATTATTCACAAAACACGCAAAATAGTATCTGGCAAGGTTCCTTACTAGCTGGAATCTTGCAAAATATTACTGAAAATGTGCCTCTAGTGATTGTGCAGGTTTTGCTGTTGCTGATGAAGAGCTTGGCAAGGAAGTTGGCCGTTGGCGCGATAATTGAACAGAGCAGACAGGGATTAGATCACGAACTCACCAAGAGTAACCAAAACCAGGGGCTTCCAGATTTTGAGCTTCAATTCGCTTCCAATGACTATTATTTCTGTACCAAGAAGTAGTACTCGCTGAGTCTAGTAGCCACCAACGTCTGCAAGGTCTTCTGTTCTCGACTTGCTCTTCGGGTCAAGGTACGGCTTTTCGCCAACTCCAGATCCTCTGCATCCATGCCGATCACCCATTTCCCAGAAGTCATAAGTGGCTGAATGGTAGAAACTGCGGTTATCCCAGATAGCTTTACAATAGAATTAGCACCATGCTTCTCATAAGTTTCTGAAGTAGAAAATGCTTACCAAAGTCGTTCGGATCCTTCCATTTGAACCGCACTTGCATAGTATGGTTCTTGTAGACCAACTCATGGAACCAATCGATGAGCATCTTGCTCTCCTCGGCCGTCACACCGTTAATGTGTTTGACCATGCCGCCGATAGCGAAAACGCTCTTCCATCCCGTGACGGGGTTAGTCCTCACGACAGGATGGACAGCTTTAATTACATCCCCGACATTTTCGGGGTTACCACGCTCTTTAGCATAAAGCTTGATTCCCATAGCATCACACATTTGCTTCAGACCAGGTGGCTCAAATGTGCAAGTAAGGGTTTCCAGGAACTTTTGGTAAGGCTCGCTGCAACACGTTAACATGAGGAAGAGTCTGGTGACTAAGGACGTCGCTGCCTACCTGATCTTGTCGTATAGTTCATAGCCATTGGCCCATAGAGTATCACCGCCAGTAGCAGGCAGCGTAGTGAGACGTAGGCACGAGTAGTCAGCCGGGACTGGCTCAAAACAGCAATCGCTATGCCATTCCGAAGTGTTCTGCTTTTTAGGGCAGAGTGCATCAGGTGCTAGGTCCTTGTTTCTCACGAATGAAGGCTTCGTCTGTTTTTGGTGGATATAACTGACGACATGGTCGTCTCCCTGATCGTCTCGTTCTGCGTTGAATACCGGGTGGATATGAAGCCCAGACTCCGCAGGACGGCAAGTAAGCTCTCCAAGCCGTGTGAGGAGCTCTTTTTGGAGCTCAGGAGTGAGGTCGTCCTGTTTGCGGAAGAAGACGACACCACGTTGAGAAACTGTTCGCCATATCAGCACCAGCACAAACAAGGAGTTAGGTGGTGCGGTCGTGTCGTCACTTACCAGTGATGGCGAGATCACGGATCAGCTCATCTGAATTTGGGGCCTTGAGCCAGTCCACAATATTGGCTGTAGGGAATTCGCGACCAGTAATGGGTGTCGGATCAAAAGACTCAAAAGCATCTAGCGCTCCCGACTGTTTCAGGGGCTTCGTCGAAAAGGCTGCCTTGGTTGCTGAGACATTGACAGGGATGTCTACTTCGATGCTAGCAGGTGCCATGGTGAAGTACTGATTCGATAGTTTTCAATGTTGAAGCCTACTCCTTACGCTATGCTGTGAATGCAGTGCGTCGATGTGCAAGGCCTCGCTATTTTACAATACTTATATCTGTTTACTAAAGACTTGAACAGTCTCTCAACAAGCCGGTGATTGCTTGCATTGGCAAATGACGAACATTTTGGGAGACGCATGCCCCGAAACCGGATCGCATTGCAAACCCGTGCCATACAATTGGCAATGACCATGAGAGTAACCAAATGCAAAGTCGGTTAATGGATGAAAGGACAATGTCCGATGTTGCAGACATCAAAGTCTCCGTAATGACTCGGCAGAATGCCAGTCTGTCGGGGAGCTAATGCCGACGCCTTCGGAGGTTATGAAAGCAGAGGGTGAGTCTGTCCGAAGTCATTCAGAATCCTTTATCAAATTTCCAGTTCTATATCAAACCTTGTGACCGATAACTTCCGAGTGCACAAAAGTCCCGACAACCCATCCGCAATTTGAGGCAATGCGAAAAGGCCCTTATTACAGCGGACCGAAAGTGTCAATCCATGCGACTTGGCATATCAACGGGCCTTACGAAATAATCCCAAGAAGTCCGCAAAAGTTCCGTGTCATCTGCATCTTAGTTGGCAGTGTCTATTAGTTCGCACGAACTGGACGATCATACAATACTACTTCGTCGGCCTCTGTGGGCTGCCGTCCAAAACCACCGAAGTAGCGATTCGTAGCACTATGCAGTTGAATTGAAGCAAGCTGAACTCCGACGACAAGTTGAAGCATTTGCTGATACCCGTAAAACGTTGCCAACGAGGTGAATGCTCAACATCGCGACAATCTCAGGCGTGGTCGAAGGTACTCATCCAAGACTTTACCAGTATCGTTGCTCAAAAATTCAGTTCGAGCCCACATCACAATGGTTGCCAACCATGCAGACCCCAAAGAGCCGACATACTCAACGCCCCAGGCAGAGAGGAAGGCCAAAGAAATCCATACTACTATGAAATATTACGGAGGTGATCCCAGCATACCTCTAGAGCCAACAATCATTGGGGGGTACGTGCGCCATACGCCACAGATGCATTGTCAACATCTAACACGATGAACTAGCCCTGAGCCTCCCCAGTTCGCGCCCAAGGTTGATTCACCTGTGATAGTCACCGACGTCACAGGCATCGAGGATAAGTTCAAGCTCATGAAACATGGCTTTCAATACGTGAAGCATAAGACTCATTTTGAGGCTGTCCTTCCAGAGTTGAAGAACCGAGATGGGGCCTTGGAACCGCTCGATGAGACCACAAAGGCCCACTACGATGAAATGCACGAGTTTTTGGAGGAAGTTTTATCTCAACAGGAAGATCTGTGAGGCGCTCAATACCCAAGCGGTGAAAACTGGACCGGCATTGCTAACAAACTGAAGACCCAAACCTTCACTCATTCGAGTCCTGATGCACACCAACCGTGTTTCTCAGGTGGGACAGAAAGGAACTTTGGGCCCTATCTACAACGTTCACGTTGACCAGTCTGCATCTGCTGCCGAACCACTTGCGATTCGGTGGCTGGGCCATGATGCACCTGAACTCCTGGCCAAACCACGTTTTCAAATTATCAACGTATGCGACCCTTTCCAGCTGGAACGACTCATGTATCGGAGTGCTCACTAACTTGAGATAGATGTGGCGCCCTTGCAAGCCCATCACCCGCGACCCGTTCGCCGTGTCAGATGCCACCACCATCCCGGACAAGGACTACATCAAGGTCCCATTCATCTACCCCAACAGGACTTCTGAATTGTTGGAAGTGTGCCCAGGATCAGACCCCGAAAAGCCTCACCGCTGGTACTTCAAAGACAATCAGCAAACAGATGACGTCGTGCTTTTCATTCAAGCCGACACAACCAAGCGACCGGGGGTTGTGAGGCGTTGCCCTCATGCAGCATTCAAAGATCCGCGATTGGATGAAGCAAAGCTAGACCCTAGGGTTAGCATTGAGATTAGGGCCATGGTGTTTTACGACCATGATGACTACGAGGAGGAGGCCGGGGCAGAGTCGGGCCAGGATAATGAAGAGAAATTTTGAGGGGTTGCCGCAATCGAAAAATTGAGACGTTGAAAACGGGCTAGGCTTCAAGCATCTCCATAGCGCAGCAGACAGAATTGAAATCCAATTGAATTCCATTCAAACGAGGCCTTTGGAGTGAAAGTGAACCAGATCGGTCTACTGACCTTGTTGATTTGGCTGTCTTCACCGTGGCTGCCATTCTCTCGCCAAGATGGCCAGAAGGTGAAGGCGGTAATAGGCAGTATGCAGTCTTTGAAGACGGGGCCCCAGTCCTGTCTCAGAGATAAGCGGCGACCGCAGGGCTTAGGAGATCTATCACCGCATCACAAGAAATGGACACTGTTCTGAGTTCAAGGTATCAAGATGATGTTACGAAAGACAATCCATTGTGTGAATACCTAAATTCTATCGTGATGCACCTTAACACCCCAACGCCGTCTAGAAGGAAATGCCGAATTCTAGATCTTGACCTCTACTTCAGCAATTTCTGAAATGTGATAATACCTGACTCCTTCTCAGCCTGCTCCAAAAATGTGCACACCAAATCACTCATTCCAACGTTTTTGGCTTTGCCAATCCATTCCGTCATTGGCAAAACCTTGACAGGCTTGCCGTGTAGCCTTTGACTGATGAAACCGCTGATACCATCTGCATCCAGCGATACTACTTCATCAGAGCAGTCGTGGCGATATCGGACCTCGTCCGCACGACTTCGTCGCATAGCATCCGCAACAACAGCTTGAGCAACGCGGTCCACCGACACGAAGTCCAGGACACCCTTCCACTTCTGGGTCACTGGCACAGCTGCCAGCTTCTCAGAGTAAGCAACTAGGTTGCTCATGATGTCAGAATCCGGGATGCCGGCGCCGGTCACGCTTGAGAGACGGCGGACCGTCACCGGGATACCGAGATCGCGATTTGCGTTCTCAAGAACGGCTTCGCTTGCCCACTTTGAAGCTCCGTAAGCGTCACGGTATCCTGGGGGAGGAGGGCGGTGGGACATTGGGACCGGTGCGAAGGCGTCCAACTCTGGAGCGAGGCGCCCCACCACGGCCGAGGAGATGTATGTAATCGGAATCCGTCGAGGCGCCGCTATTTCTGTTGCTAGGAACTTAGTGCTGGAGACGTTGGGTACCCGAAGAGCTGCGTAAGGTTTCAAGAAGGACACATCAGCGCCGTTGTGGATGATGAGATCGACGGTCCGCGCCAGAATTTCTTTCGTGCTGTCATCGAGTGAAAGAGACGCGTCTCGGAGGTCGCCCTGGTGGACAACTACCTTGCGATCGCTGCTCATCTCGCCAAGGCGGGTTGTGTCTCTCACGGCGAGACAGTGGATCTTGTCAATGGAGGGTGTGGCCAAGAGGGAACGCAAAATAGCTTGTCCGACGAAGCCTGTCGCGCCAGTGAGAGCGACCACGCGGGGTGGCTGACGAACGGATACCGTCGGATGTTGTGAGAGAATATTCTCGGAGACCGGCGAAAGGTCGGGTAGGGCCGTCTCAGATTCCCAATCAACGTCACTCTCGTCATCACTGACTGATTCAATTTCAGTGGCGACAAGAGCTGTCATTGCTTCCAGGCTGCTCTTCTTGAACAGTTCGACCACTGGGACAGAAACATCAAACTGGGCCTGAATAGCGGCTTGCACGCCGACGAGCTGAAGAGAGGTGCCACCAAGATTGAAGAAGTCGATGACAGAAGCAGGACCGGAAAGATCGACCGGACAGCGCCCTAGAACGCGACTCCATAGGCGCAACATCTCATGCTGCTCAATGGTGAGCGGTATTTCATGCTGGCTGACGGGGGAAGCCTGTTGAAGCTGCGGCGTGTTCACAGGTAATCTTGCCGCAGCTCTTCGATCTACCTTGCGGTGAATCGTCAGAGGCAAGTTAGTCACAGGGACGATTGTGGCTGGTCGCATGACTCTGGGGAGGTTTGTGATGTTTTGCAAGATGTCCCTCAGCTGCTCGTCGATGTTGATGTTGTGACGCCCTCGGGCACTCAACAGTGCATGGGCCACGAGATACTTGCTCTCGCCCTCCCCACGGGGAGAGACGACAACCTGGTCGAGCAGGCCGTCCGAGTTGTTCAAGATGGCTCTCTCAATTTCTTCGAGTTCCATTCGGACTCCTCTGATTTTGAGTTGTGCGTCGCCTTCGATACGCCCCAAGATGGACAGCGTGCCATCCTCGTTGATCTTCCCCTTGTCGCCAGTCTTGTACATGCGAGTCCACCCCTGAGACCTTGCGAGATCGGAACGAACAAAAGGATCGTCAACGAACTTCTGCTCAGTCAAGGCCGTATTGTCTAGATAACCCTTGCAAACACCGGCGCCGGCGATGTAGACTTCTCCAGTCATGCCTGGAGCAACAGGGCGTTGTGCGGCATCCAGGATGTATGCGGCATAGTTGTGGAGGGGGAAGCCAACAGGTACTGGGTCGTCGTTGGAAGCCATCCCCGGGAAGACCTCCATATAGTGGGAGACAAAGCTGACTTCAGAAGGCCCGTAGAAGTTCATCAGTCGTAAGCGAGGAAGCTGCAGGTTTCTCAATCCGCTATCCACCGAGGATGAATATTGCTCCCCGCCAATGACGGCAATCTGCCAGTGCCTGTTATGTTGAAGATCCTCCGATCCATGCATGAGCCAAGCGGAGTATTCAGATGGCGTGGCAATAGTGAGAGTGACTTCTTCCTGGCGGATGAGGCGAGCTATCGCCGTCATGTCAAGTCTCTTCTCTTGTGGCACAATGACAAGCTTGCCGCCTGAGCAGAGGGTAATCAGGATCTGCCAGAGAGCCATGTCGAAGTTGAGCGCTGTCTGTTGAAGAACCACGTTGGACGCTGTCCGATAGATGTCGGCGCATGCCTCGACGACATTGACGACCGTACCATGGCAGAGGACTACGCCCTTGGGAGTACCCGTGGTCCCACTTGTGAAATGCACCGCCATGGGTTCTTGAGGCTTGGCAGAAATGGGAATGGAACTCAAGCTGGCGGGTTGCTGATGAGAGACGTTGAGGTGAGCGATGTATTCAGCTGTTGGTCCCAGATCTGCAACACGATCGATGGTCTTGTCGTGGGTCAGGATGAGAAGCGGCTGGGATGTCTTGACCAAAACAGCAAGGCGTTCGGCGGGCAGGGTAGGATCAAGAGGAACGTATGCGAATCCGGCCCACATGGCACCGAGCATCGCGCAGACAGCATCAACGGAAGGCTCGCAGAATACGCCAATGAGTCCCTCGCGCCGTCCTCCGACACTCTGATGGAGAGCTTGGGCGATGGCCTGCACACGTCTCTTCAGTCCACAATAAGTGAGTGAGGACGCGAAACCGTTGGTGATAGCGAGCGAGTTAGGCTGCTGACGGGCAATCCTATCGATGCGATGGAGGACAGTCTCTGGCCACACGGAGATATGCTCAGGGCCCCTTCCAAGTGTTAGTGTTCTCTGAGCCTCCCCTTGGTTGAACAAGGATGGTTCGTCAATAAGAACGTCCGTGTTGTTGGCAAAGCTTTCCAGGAGGGTCACGAAGGTGTCCATCAACGTCTGGGCGTCTTCCTTTGTGTAGAGCGATCCTTGGACGTCGAACCGAAGCAGGGTAGCACTGTCTGGGTTCTCAATGACGTCCAGCATGATGTCGTAGGATGTTGTCCCACTGACCCAGTCCTCACCTTGACCTTGGCATCCGCAGAAGGTGCGATTTTGACTAACACCAGGTCGGTAATTGAGGAAGGCTTGGAACAATGGGTTGTAGGTATCAGAGCGCTCGACGCCTGCTTCCTGGAGAATCATGTCGAAAGGTAGTCGCCCGTGAGCCACCGCTGCTTGCGCCTTGCGCCTGGAGCTCTCCAACACCTCCTTGAATCGCTGGCCGCCGCTCATAGCGAATCGCAAAGGAAGCAAGTTCAGATACATGCCGATGCTCTGAGCAAATGTGCCCATCTCTCGACCAGCATCAGCAATGCCGATGCAGAAGTCTTGAACTTCCAGAAGACGATGCAGCAGAACAGCATAGGTGGCCAGTAGGAAGTGGAACATGCTAGTCTTCGTACGACGGCAAGCGGCCTTGATGGCCCTAGTCACAGCAATGTCGACCTGGCCTTGGGCTTGATTGTGGGAGTACTTGTCAAGCGGCTTCCGCTGTGTCGTCTTGGCGAATGGGAGCAGGGAGAGAACAGTCGGTGCAGGATTAGTCAGCTCTTTTGCCCAGAATCTCTTCTCATCGGCGAAAGCGTTTGAATGAAGGTCTTGGCTTTGCTTGCAGCAGTACTCGGAGTATTGAATTGGCGGCGATAGCGGATGCCCGAAGTAAACCTTCTCAATGTCGCCAAGCAAGACCTCCAGACTGATGCCGTCCATATTGATGTGATGATACCCGATGACAAGCAAGTGAACTTGTTCCGAAAGCGTCAGGAGATTGAAACGCATCAAATCCCCTGCCTCGATATCGTACTCATGGGACTTGAGCTCATCGAACAGAAGTCTTGCGTCGCTCTCATCGCGAACAAATTTGTGCTCGAGCTTCAACAGCGCCTTTGCCCTGATGCACTGAGTAGGGCTTCCATCTCGACCGGTGGTGAACGACGTGCGGAGGGCCTCATGGGCCTGGGCCACCGTGTCGACAGCCTTGGAAAGTGCGTCGACTCTGATGTTTCCTCTCAGCTGAGCCCAGAAAGTGATGTTGAAAGCTGACTTGTCCGTGACGAAATGCTTGAGGAACCAGAAACGAGATTGCCCGGCGGACATGGGAATCTCACGATCCACCTGACTGAATTGCAATTTGCTAGGGGTGACCAGCTCAGGAGATGCTGACCCTGTCGAGCTTGAGAGAGATACCACGCCGTCTTCTTCACTGTCGCTGAACGCGTCATCTAATAACGACGGCGAAGATCTTGAGGAGCTACCGGTTGGCATTAATGGTTTGCTTGTCTCAATGTCGTCTGGGACCTTGGGCATCTCGAGAAGTGGGACTGGCGCAGCTTGCTGCTTGGTGGGTCGTTCCGCGGCGCCACGAGTCTCCGTGACCTGCATAGGCTTGGAAGGGCCAGAAACATCGCGTGTCGGCTGGGGTGTTTCCTCTTCTTCGGGCTCATCTCCATTATCATCTCCGAGACTCGGTGTCAAAGCAGCAGGGAGTTTCTCCAGCGAAAATGTAATCAACTCTTGAACCGTAGAGCCACCCAAAAGCTTGAGAACGGGCATCTCCACTGACATCTCGCCAGAGAACCACGTGCGGAAGTCGACTGAGACCAGAGAGTCAACACCAAGCTCATCAGCTCTCGAGCCGAGAATCTCGGCCTCGGGAATTTGGTTATCCAACTGAAGAGTGGCAACTAGCTTTGCGACAAAGCCCTCTGCGGAAATGTGTGTCAGTATACTTCATCATGAAAGAAGAAATCCTGTTGACTTACCACGCACGATTCTTTCCACGGACTTAGCTGTGTTGGCGCTCTTGAGCAGGTATTTGACTGAGGTAGACTTCCTCGCCCCCGCATCCTGAGATGAGTCGTCTTCTGAAGAGATCTCCTTGGTGACCAGGTGGCTGAAACGAGGATCTTCCATCACCAGGACCTTATCTGGACTGTCCTTTCCGTGTACAAGCTGACGCAAACCAACGATGAACTCAGAGTCGCCATTCACACCGTTGTCTGGTTTGCTTGCCAGCACAGCCTCGGCAAAACAATTGTGGAAGTCCTTCTCTGAGATCCAAGTGGCACCGGCGCTCCAGAGATTGTCGAGAATAGCGCGTGTGAGGTTGTGAGCCATGTATCCTACGCCCATGATTGCGCCGATGTGCATGACAGACGCTGGGAGACCCCGCGCCCGCCTGTTGTTGGCCAAGGCGGTCATGAACATGTTGGCGGCACTGTAGTTTGACTGCGCTCGATTTCCAGTGACGGCAGCTATTGAGGAAAAGAAGACAAAAAAGTCCAAGTTGAACTCGGAATTTTCGCCAAAGATTGAGTCCAAGTAGATGCTACCTTTGACCTTGGTGTGTAGGGTCTGCGTCATCATATCGAGCGGCATGTCCATGAACAGCTTGTCGCGAAGTACCATAGCTCCGTTGGCGATGCCAGCAATTGGGGGCATACTAGTCCGGATGTCTTCGACTACTCCACGCAGAGCGGCTTCATCGGTGATATCACTGCAATGTTTGGTTAGCGAGAGGCGTTCAGAATTGACATGGGATGTGTCGGGTTGAAAGCAGACGTTGGGACTTACTTGGCAAAGATTCTGATCTCGACTCCAGCCTGCTCTTTAGCACGTAACCAGTTTGAGCCAACATTAGGGCTACGGCTAGTCATTACAAGATGACGTGCCCCATGATTAATCATCCAATCGCAGAGTGATTGACCGAGATCGCTTGTCAGTCCAAAGAGCACATAAGTGCGGTCGGGCTTGAAAGAGAGGTAGTTGCTCACAGGCGGTACGACCGCTGGTACAACTGAACCGCTGTCCGAGCTCCAATCAATGACAACTGAGAGCCCGATGTTCAGATCTTCGGAAAGGTCAAGGTTCTGTAGAGACTTTGCTTTGGTAGAAGCTCTCTTCATGGCACTGCCAGACACGCGTTTGAGGGCAGTCGTAAGGATGTCGAGGGGGTTGAAGGAATGTGTAGGTCTCTGATGAACAAGATCGAGCAGGGCCAGCTTCGAGCATCGCTGGGGAAGGGCGCTGAGAAGGGTCGCAGGCAGCTTAGTGTTGCGAGTTTCAACGCAGTTCACGATCATATCCACCGTTGGTGGCAGCTGAGAACGAATCATTCGGAGAGAAGAGTGTGGCTCGATGTTGACCCAAGAGGCGTTTTCTATCCTTTTCAGATTGCCTGGACTGACTGAGGTCGAGGCAAAAGTGACTCTCAGTTCCTTCTCTGAAGCCTTCAAGAGAACGGAAGCAGCAAGCGCCTCATCTGCCTCATATAGCATGACCGAGGACTTGTGTGGAACAGCATCTAAGATGCTGGCTGCTTGAAGTTCGCAAACGAGTGATGAGAGAAACTGGTTCGGGTTCTCCACATCAGCGTCAACAGAAAGATCAGCTGCGAGATCTTGAGGCGAAAGCAGAGAGCCATTCACGTTTGATAATGCCACATGCGGAGTATTGTCACCGGTAGCACTAGCGAGGACAGCGTAGAGCCCATCATAGGAGGGTGTTGCTGATGATGCAGTCACTTTCAGCCAGTCGCCAGCTTCAACCGAGGGGCCCACCGTGGCAAGCTTGTGGAACTTCCACAAAGTGCCGGAAGAGCGCAGATGTACCGGAGTAATTTGGGAGTTCGTAGACTCCGTGACCAGTTTCCGGGAAGCAGTGTATCTCAGATTCATAGCGGCGTCGTAGGCGATGCGAGGCACCTTGAGCATGTCGTTCTCCAGCACAAGCTCGTGCTCACGAGCCCACAAGAGCGCTTGTGATGAATCGTCATCTTGCTCGATCTCTGCAAGAGTTTTCCAGCGTAAAAAAGTTTCTGCGATAACTCGAGGTGCTTGAGATGAGTAGGGAGAATCCAAATCCAGAAATTGGAGCCGAAGACCAGGCATCTCATGGATAAGCACACGACCCAGGCCGACACTCATATTCATCTCAGGTGACTGTTCTTGGCACCCACTTGTGATCCACAGAAGGCACTGGGGTCGTTCCACCAGCTTCTTGAGTCCTGCGAAGGACTCATCCGAGAGATCACTCATGACTGGAGTGTCTAGGTCGGCCAGATTAATGACACAACAATTTTGCCCGAGAGACTCGAGATTGCTGAGGTCCCGGAGTGAGCGGACGCGAATAATGCTGGTGCCAGCAAACCACGGAGCCAGGATGCGGCTTAGTTGTCCTATCAGGCTACAAGACTGCATTGTTTGGCCTCCGACAAGAACAAGCTTTTGGGACTCCTCGTCACTGCTCGCATCGGAGGTTAGTACCTCCAATGGCGGGTGGTAAAGAGGCTCTCGAAGAAGATTGATCCTGTCATCCACGGCCTGAGACAGAATGATGAGTGACGGCCAGGCCAGTGGTTCGAACTCCGGGGTAACTGCGTCGACGCCGGAAAACCCCGTGCGAGACAGTCGTTGATGCCACTCCGTAGTGTCGATTGTTGCCGTCAGCGGTCGACCATCGTCATGTCCCCTGAACCAGCCTGGTAGAGCCGAAAATGGGAATCGTACTCGGACCACATCAGCGCAAGTCACTTCGGCAATTAGGAGATAGCCTCCCGGCTTGAGAAGTCGTCTCGCATTGCGAAGCGTGTCGTCGAGCTTAGCGGTGGCGTGCAAGACGTTTGAGGCAATGACCAGATCGTAGGAACCCTCCTGGAACCCCTGCTCAACAACATCCCGCTCGGCATCCAGGATCTTGAAGATCATCTTGGGAGACTTGAAGACGTTCATGGCTGTTGAGAAGAAACCAGCTGAGATATCGGTGAAGGTGTATGAAGAGAACTGGCTGCCAATGTGTTTGAAGATACTCTTGGTAGCGCCACCAGTACCAGCGCCGAGCTCAAGCATCTTCATGTGGGGATATCGCCGGGAGAGTTGTAAGGCTATGCGCCCAAGCCAATCCATGGTGAGGTCGAGACCCAATGCTCCAGCGTAGAATCTGTCCATGAAGTCGTCCTTGAAAAGAATCTCCACCATATTGGCTTCGCCTCGAATCGACGCAGCCATGTTGGTTCCGACCTTTTGCATTAGTTGGAGGTCCAGACTGTCGGGATATCTGTGAAAGATGGGAGCAACATCGTTCCAGGTATCATTCAACCACTCCTTCTTGGCATATGGTATGCTACCCTGAGAAACGCGGGAAAGAATGTCATGGCTAAAGTCGAAGAAATACTGGTGATGCACGGCGATGTTGCTCCTGGACTCGGGATCTGAAAACTCTTCCTCGATGGCACGCAGAAAGTAGATGCCGACACGCTCCAGGTCCCAAGCCATGTTGAGCTCCTGGTCAGTGGGGAGCCGACCTCCGGATGCCTCGATACCATCAACCGTGATTGGGTAGTAAACGGTCTTGGAGTAGAGTTGTCGGTTGGAGGCGGCGCTGTCGGGCGAAAATGGAACGACTTTGATGTTTTCCACTTGAATCAACGTAGCGACATCATCATCACTGTCGGGATTACGCGGGGGCGAAAAGACCTCCACGTCTCCTGTGATTGACTCTGGTAGTTGTCGCAACCTTGAATCGAAGACCATCTCGTCTCCTAAATTTGGTCGAGACATCACGGCCTTCCAGTTGGCCACATCCACTTTGATGCTCTGGAACTCGGTTGGAACGAAGACCTCAACAAGTCCGGCATCTCGAGGCCAACCCATGGCCAGGAAGATCGCCTGGAATGATGCATCAAGGAAGGCCGGATGTATCAGTACTGGTGACCCGTTCCAGTCCTCATTGGGCATTTGGAGTCTTCCTGTTCCGTAATCAAGCTTGCGCTGCATCGACTTGAGAGCGCGGAACGGACCAGTATAGCCATAACCAACTTCCTCCAGGAAGTCGTAAAAGTCATCAGTAACGACTTCGAGTAGGTTCGGTTGATCTCCACCAGATCGCAAGGGAAGACGCTCCATGGGACCTGAGTCAGAGTCCTTGGCAGGTTCCAGCGTTAGCTCGACTGCAGCTGTCGCAAGCAATGTCAGATTGGGAGCATCTCGGCGAATTAATGCGTGATACTGAAACTCGGCGCTCATGACATCAGGAGCCTCGTTGCGAATTTTCGAAAGGGACACCAAAGTCTCTACGTCAACGTCGTCCTCAAGAGTCAGGGCTCTGCTGATAACAACGTTGTTGACGGCAACAAGACGAGGGCTGCGATCGCCTGCTGCCGCCATCACAGCCTCCATGGCGGTGACAATGTAACCAGCAGCTGGGAAGACAACTTGGCCCTGAAGAGTGTGGCCTTTGACCCACGGTAGCTCGGAGACTCTCAAAAGGTTGCGCCATCGCATCTCCGTCTCCAGTCCATCAGATGTAAGCGTTCCAAGTAGAGCATGAGGACGAGACTTTCGCGTCCGATACGCTTTGCTCAGTCGAGAATCATGCCAGTAGACGCGGTCGTGATCCCACGTATAGGAAGGAAGGGTCTTCAAAAGTCGGGGGGACGCTTTGTTCGGCGCAATCCGTCGATCGAGAGCAGCCAAGTCCAAAGATCCGTGACCAAGGTTTTGCCATAGGGTCCCGACGCCTTGAGTGAATGATGTAACATCATCTTGGTTCCTTGACAGCAAGCCTGTGTAGAGCAGGCTGGATGCCTTCGGGTTCAGTTCTTGAAGGGTTTGCAAGAAGGGGCCCTTGAGGGCCGGGTGAGCACCGACTTCGACAACTGCGTCGAAGGGGCCGTGTTGGTCCCACGCACTCGTTACGGCGTTCGAAAAAAGGACTGGCTTGGCCATGTTGTCGCACCAGTATTTCCCAGTCAGGTCCGGATCTGATGGTTGCATTCGGGTACCAGCATGAACACTGGAGAACCAAGCGCAAGTCTGATTCGTGTTCCGCCGAGGGCTCACGTCGCATTCCGTCATCGCGCGAAGGTAGGAGTCCACACAAGGAAGCATGTGCTCTGAATGATACGCTTTGTCGACCTTGAGGATTCTTGCAAACTTGCCCTCGTCTTCAAGGATGAGACGGGCCTCCTCGATTGCATCGGCATCTCCGGAGAGTGTAATGCTTGAAGGGGAGTTGACTGCTGCAATCGAAATGCGTCCTTCTAGAGTGTCAACGACGCAGAGCTCTTCCGCGTCCTCCAGAGACGTGCCAATGGCCATCATCGCACCCTTTTGAGACTTATTCTGGCCGGCGAGTGCAGTGGCCCTTCCGCGGTAGTAGGCGATTCTGATGGCACTGCTGGCGGTGATGAAGCCGGCAGCATAAGCCGCGGCTATTTCTCCAGAAGAGTGGCCGACGACAGCACTGAAGTCAACGCCCGACGCTCGTAAAAGGTCGACCAATACGACTTGCATAGCAGTGCATAGGGGCTGAGAGAAGGCGGCCAGATGAACTCTTGAGCGTGTGGCATCAGCCAGAAGCTCGTCCACAATCGACCATTGCGGGCGATGATGATGCGGTAAGGCCCCCAAAGAGCGGTCCATATCAGTGAGGATAGACCGGACCTGCGGGAAATTTGTGATCAACTGTTTTCCCATGGTAGCCCATTGCGCGCCTTGGCCTGTGAAAACTCCCAATACACGAGCTTGGCCTGGGCTGCCCGAGAAGCGAGTACTGTGAGATACATCAGGACTTGACCTCGTCTTTTTGAGCCACTCATTCAATCTGTCCAGCAAGTCCTCGACTGATTGTGCAGGAAACGAGATTCTGCAAGACAAGGCAGATCGACGGGACAGGGTATACGATAGGTCTGAAAGGTTTGTCGTCGGATTCTCTTCGAGATATGAAACGTAATGCTGAATCAGATTCTTCAATGACTTCTCCGACGAGGCGGAAAATACGAAAGGCGAGAGCAGATGATGCCGAGAGTTTTCGTTCTCCTTCAACTCAAATGGGTGTTGCAAGCTCTGGTCGAAACTCTCAAGGATGACATGGGCGTTAGTGCCTCCAAAGCCAAAGCTGTTGATGCTTGCTCGACGAGGGACACCTGGTGGAAGAGATGGCCATGTTTGAGGCGTGACGGGGATCTCGAGATTATTGTAGAACGGGGCGACTGCGGGGCTGACTTTGTTGAAAAGAAGATTTGGCGGAATTTCACCGTGTTGCACAGCAAGCGAAGCTTTCATGATGCCGGCTATGCCTGCTGTGCCTTCGGTGTGCCCGATAACAGTCTTGATGGAGCCGACGTACAACTTGTCTGCGGTGTTGTCGCTGCGGTGACTCTTACCGAAGAACGCAGTGGCAATAGCTCTGGCTTCCTATCGACCTAGTTAGCGATTTACACTTGGTCGATTACGACATGACTGACTTACTCTAGGGTCTCCAGCACCGGTGCCTGTACCATGTGCCTCAAAGTATTGGCAGCGATCATTGGGGTTAAGGGCATCCAGGCCTGCTTTCGAGTAGGTTCGCTGAATCAACTCGGCCTGTGCTTCCGAGCTTGGAACGGTGATTCCTTCAGCGGTCCTTCCGTCTTGATTGACTAGACATTCCCTGATCACGCTCTCAATATGGTCGCCATCAGCGAGGGCGGCAGACAGGGGCTTCAGAATGAGCGCCGCAACGCCGTCACCACGGGCGTATCCCTTGGCATCTTCGTCCCACATGCGAGATCGACTGTCGTGGGAAAGCATTTTCAGCTTGCTTTCGCCGATGTATGGCTCGGGAGTCAAAATTATGTTAGCACCGGCGACAACTGCCATCGGGGAGTCGCCGTTTCGAAGTGTCATCACCGCATTATAGACGGCGACTAAGCTGGACGAACAAGCTGTGTCAATTGTTGCCGAAGGACCATGCCAGTCAAAGAAATGTGATATGCGGTTTGACAAAATACTTCGGGCAGTCCCAACACCCGCATATGTCGGCAGACTGTCCATGTCCCGTTGAAGATGATCGTTGTAGTCGCACCACATTTGACCAACGTAAACCGCAGTCTGAGACCCAGCTACTCCCTCCATTGGAAGTCCGGCCGACTCAAGGGCCTCATAGACGATTTCCAGCAGGATGCGATGTTGAGGGTCGGTCGCATGTGCTTCAACTGGTTTGATACTGAAAAAGCCCGCGTCAAAGACACGGGGATCTTCTTCGAGAAGATAAGACTCAGTAACGTTACTGGTTCCATGATGGGTACCGTCGGGGTGGTAAAATGCTTCAGGGCTAAAGCGATCCTCGGGTATCTTGCGAAGGACGTCTCGCGGTTGTTGCAGTAGGTCCCATAGCTTAGAGGGATTGCTTGCACCACCGGGAAAGCGGCAAGCAGAGCCCACGATTGCGATGGGCTCTTGCAATTTGCTCTTAGCCTTAGAGGCAGAAGGCTCAATAACTTGCCTCATGGCTGTTCGTCTGATTGGTGAAGTTGATACTTCAAACTAGGTGATGGTTGATGTTGCTACGAAGGCTGAAAACCAGATGATGCAGCAGGCAAGTCAAAGCAATGCTGGTGCCAATGACAGAAGACTTCAATGATGTGTTAGTTGAAGCTATACGGTAGGCTATCTAGATAGTCTAACTCTAATCTGTCACTGATTCGGCGTCGTCACTTTGGATCGAAGTCAATTGTCCCTCCGGCTCCCTCCGGCTCCAGTCGTGTTTACTGGAAGAATACCCTAGGCCCGCTTCGTGATTCACCCGACTCGGCCTATGGTCCCCGTCACCCAAACCTCCGAACTAACCGACAATGATAGCTCGCCTAGCCAAAATTTCCGACGTGTTATCGCGAGAATTGGTGGAATAGTTCGTCCCGACTTTTGGGTGTGCGCACGGCAAGTAGCCCGCTTTTCAGGCTGGTTGACACATACACCCAACACCCACTCCTTGCATGGAAGCTTCCTTTTCGATCCGCACACAGTTGGCCGACATCGCTGCATTTGGTGCCTTCCCCTCAGATTCATCACCGTACTGCCGCAGCGCACTTCAGTCTGAACGCATAGTTAATTCACGGAACGATGGGTGTTTTTACAGAGTTATGGAACTCAGGGGAGGTGGTGAAGCTTGCCATTTTCACGGTCAGTCTGATCACGAAATCTTTCGTGCTTCAAATGCACACCTTGCTTTATCATGAAGAAAATCGGGGCTGACTGAATGATTTTACAATAGCTCTCCATATATGGTATCTGCCGTTCAGTATACCTCCTTTACTTTCACCCCTTGGCTCGATTCCCAGGCCCCAAGCTTGCGGCAGTCTGTGAGTTGTCCTATGTCTACCACTGGTGAGCCGTGTACCTCCTCATTCTCGGTTGTTTGTGGATTATCGTCTAACTTTGTAGGCTTACTGGCCACTATCATGAGTACATACACAAGCTTCATCAGAAATATGGTTAGTAAACGCGCCGACTCAAAGGCAAAATCAGCCATCCGCAGAGATTTATCTGATATTCTGGGGAAGGTGATGTTGTACGCCTGGCCCCTAATGAACTCAGCTTCAATACTGCCCAAAGCTTGCAAGGTATGAAAAGTCACACCACAGCCTTCCACAATCTGACCATACTTTCGTGTAGACATTTATGGCAACCCCTCCAAAACGGGCCAGACTTTTCTCAAATCATCATTCTACGCAGGTCCAAGCGGATACAGCACCATAGTCATGGAGAGAGACCCAATTAAGCACAAAGAGACTAAGAAACTGTTGTCCTATGGCTTCAGTGCCAAGGAGCTTCAGGCTCAAGAGCCGATCTTGAAGACAAATCTGGACATGTTGATCACCCAGATTGACAATCAGATTGCCGCGGAAAAACAGGGGCTTTCACTCAACAAGGCATGAACTACTCCATTGATAATAGTTGTCAGTTTCTGATGATAGGCAGCTCCTGCAGTCATTCGTCTTTGACACAATCGGAGAACTAGCCTTAGGAGAAGCATTTGGCGCACTCGGAACAGGTAATTGCCTCCTGACTACCAGCAACTTTGCTTGCATACCAGACCAAATGCTCACTATCATTCTCAAGGCACAACACATCCATGGATTAGCACAATTCATGGTGCTATCTACTTCATGAGTATTGTGCAAATTGCACCTCGTCTTCCAATACTATGGCTCACGCTACCGCTCGTTGTGCCTTGGAGTTCCATCGGCCAATTCATCCGCTTCTTCAAATACCAGACTTCAATGACAAGAAAGAGGCTGTCCAGGCCATCTCATGAGCAAAAGCGGGACTTGTTCAGCTTCCTTTTGAAGGAGAAGCCTGACAACTTCCTGCAAGTGGCGTCTGAAGAGTGGCTTGGAAACCAGGCTGGTGTACTCATCGCGGCAGGGTTTGATACCACGGCAGTGACCGCTACTGCTGCATCATACTATCTTGCAAGGAGACCAGAAAAGATGAAACGCCTGCAGAGAGAACTACAGGAGAAGTTCTCAGATGCGTCTGAGATGAACGGCACCACCGTACATCAGTTGCCTTATCTCAGCGCATGTATCGAGGAGACCATGAGAATCATGCCGCCGTTGACATTTGGGTTGCCTCGCGAAAGCCCTGGCGCAGAAGTTGATGGAAACTTCGTTCCCAAAGGGGTGCGTAACCTGATATCAGAAGTTTGTGCCTGGCTAACGGATTATGATGATTCAGACTGTTGTTTCGACCAGTGGTTGGAGTATCACTCGCCGGCCCGACTACTTTTTTGGGCCTGAAGAGTTCCATCCTGAGAGGTGGCTTCCGGCATCTCACGACTACTTTGACCCATTGTTTTGTAACGACTTGAAGGAAGCGTCGCAACCATTCTCGCTTGGCCCCCGGGTATGCTTGGGAATCAACTTGGCCTACACCGAGTTGAAGCTACTACTGGCGCGTCTTGCATATGAATACACTTGGGAACTGGTCAATGATACCGGGTTTGACTGGGATAGAGAACGCAAGTTTCAGGCTCTATGGGTTCTACCCGACCTGCGAGTGAGATATACACGCACTACTTGAGACAGATAATATAGGCATCACCTCTGCATGCCTTGTTTGCTTCGCTTCATCGGTGTTCAATGTACCTGCTCTCAAAAAGAGCAGCTTTATGAAAAAGCCAATAACTGTTATGTGACCTAGTCTAACAGCCATCATTGACTGTATTATCCCCTTCGTTCGCGCACAAACAGCATTTTCTTCCTCTGCGTCGTTGTCTTCTTTATTTTTCAAGGCCTCTAAATACTGATTTAAACACATTCGCGTACATTCGAGTTCTATAGCTGACGAAGTTGGCGACAGAATCAACGATTAGAATCTATTGATTGTATTCAAGTCTTTGATTTTGACCGCAAGATCCCCCTGACGCTAACATAGCAGCTTATGATCAAGGCAACTATTCCAAGCGCCAAAGAAGCCTTTTGAGAATGGCATCCCCAACAAACACCCAGGTTCTTGGTAACAGCTGCCACAGTGAAGATCCAGCTGGGACCATCTGTGAGGAAGAGATGCTCCAGGTTGACTCGACGATATCCTTGTAAGAAGTAGTCCACCTTCTCTGCACTGTAAGACTGATCACCACCTCTGCTAATACGCATCAAAGCTGCCGTAACTTCGCGAGGCCTGGGGTGTCCCATGCTACATAGCAGTGCGGCAGCCCAAAGCCAGCGAGGGGCACCTCCGTGTTGCAGGCCCGACGGAGGATCCAGATAGAGATTGAGACCAATAAAGGTAATGTTGAACATGAACACCAAAGCCATGGACCAAGCAAAACCAGCGAATATTTCTACCCAGTGAAGAAACACTTCGCGACGCGCTTTTGACCCCAACTTTGGATTCTGAAAGCTTCTGAAAGCAACCCCTTGGGCAAAGGACCCCATTAAACTGTTTCACGGTGTCATTAGTAAGCTTTGAATTCTCCCATGATGAAATTAGGAACACTAACAACGCTGAAGAAGTGATCAACGGGGCAACGTGGATGAATGCTACTGCCATCTTGGCTGTATCTCCAAAACTGGGGAGTCTGTGCAATACTGAATGCGTGCAAGTGATGCGGTCACAATTTTGTCTCAGCCGTAAAAGAAAACAACAGATTTGGCAACGGTTTCTGTTGTGTCTCGGGCACAGGGTGTTGTCGTGGTAACGGGGGTCAAGCTTTGGTGTCGACGAGAGCCTCAACACAGCCCCGACGATTCTTCGGGATTGTACGGTCGTATATTAATTCGGTCCGCAAAGATTTCAAGATGCTCTGTGACTTGGTAGGCGCCAAACGTCGAGTCATGCGGAATCCGGTGGTTCTGATCCTGTCAGAAGTGTATTCTGGGAAATTTCCGAGAGCCATCCAACCTCCGACCGGTCACTCCGAACAACCCCAGTCAGTTCGGCCAAAGTTGCTCACCCCAGAAGTCACAGTGGCAGGCCGTTTCGCCATGAAATCTGCTTCAGAATCGTTCAGGTCTGAGTTGCAGTGACTTTCCTGCCTGTATGAATCTTTTGTGTATGGGAGTGACAATTGCTTCTGCCCTTTGCGTGTTGAAATCATCCACTCTCTGAGATCAACTCTGTCGAACAGCCTTTGCACTTATCAATGGCAGGTGCTCGAAACTCTCTAAACTTCAACGAACAGCCATCGAATGCTACAATGCATCACTTCTTTTCTTCTCCCTTTTACAACTTTGAGCTTACACGCATTCTTGGGACAACTGCTGCCGGAGGGTGCGATGTTGCCGAGTTTCTTGAGGCAGTAGGCGAGATCAAGAAACATGATGCAGAAAGCTGGTATCGCGCCTGGTGGAAGCAGGCCAGCAGGGCAAGCCAGGTCGCTACAGATGCCAGTCGCCAGGGCCTTGCGCCGTTAGCGAAGGCCGCCTACCTAAGGGCTGCCAACTACTACCGAGCTGCCCCATACATGCTTCCAGCGCTGGACCGCCGCGTCTTGAAGTGTGGCGAGCTCAGCGCAGAGAACTTTGAGAAAGCCACTGAGTTCATGGAAGGCAGAGTTCTTAACATGACATTTCACTTCGGCAACATCGACATTCCAGGTCGCCTGTTCCTGCCCCCGGAGGCAAAGAGATTGAGAAATGAGCAGAAGACACCTCTCCTCATCAACTGCGGTGGCGCAGACTCAACCATGGAAGAACTGTATTTTGTCTTCGGCACTCTGGGCCCAGAGCTCGGCTATGCTGTTCTCAACTTCGATGGTCCCGGGCAAGGTCTCACACTGAAGCGCGATGGTGAACCAATGAGACCTGACTACGAAAAGGTTCTCTCATGTGTTCTTGATGGGATATGGGCTTTGGCTAAAGAGCGGCCCGATGCCAATCTCGACCTTGACCGCGTCTGTGTAGCAGGCATTTCTATGGGCGGATACATCGCTCTGAGAACAGCCGCTGCTGAGCCATCCCGTGTTGCAGCCTGCATCTCAGCCGACCCACTCTACGATATGTGGGAGCTGGCCATGACGAGACTGCCGGGCTGGTATGTGCGCATGTGGCTAAGCGGGTGGATCTCAGACGGCTTCTTTGACTGGTCATGCAACTCTCACATGTCGTTGGATTTCCCTACCAAGTGGGAGTTTACCACGACAATGCATGTGATGGGTCAGAGAAAGCCGGCGGATGTTGTTCGAGAATTCAGGAGATACTCTCTGCGATGGCGACCTGATGATGACTTCAAAGACAAGGACGTGGATGAAGAAAGAGGTGGGGCAACCATCTTATCGCAGGTAAGATGTCCTGTCCTGGTTACAGGAGCATCTCAAGCTATCTATCAGCTCCCCGATGCTAGCACGCAACGCATTATGGATGAGCTCGTTCATGTTCCTCTTGAGAAGAAGGAGATTTGGATCCCAGAGACTGTGGGGGAGGGGGCCTTGACAGGCAAAGTTGGGGCGTGGAACTCGCTTGCGACCAAAACCTTCGCATTTCTCGACAAGCAACTGGGAATTAATCGGCCTTCGAGATGAGATTTTGCAGTTCAGTATGATATCATGTACTTCACATCGTTTTCTACACTTGAAGCATAGCTACTTCCCGTTAATTGATCGGATCGAGTCAAGAACTTTTTGAATAATAAATGCTGTGCCAGGTCCCCGTCACAGAGGCTGTACAATTCTTTAGCTCAAAAAGTTCAAAGACTAGGTATTGAAAGAAGAATTTCTGCAGGCTGACTGTAATATTCGTTTGGATGGTCTACTGAACTGTATATACAAGCTTTCCGCCACTCACTGCCTTCTCTTGCAACAGCTTTACTCCTCCAGGAACAGCCTCTAGCCCCCCGTCCATCAGCTTCACTGGATGGGGCTTCAGTAACCCTTTATCCATGAGTTCTTGGACAACAGTACGGAACCACCACTTTCCAAAAGCACGCTTCTCGGGCCGTGGCTTGCTGTAATAGGGCCCCGTAAGACCCTCCTCTCTGCCGATCATGCTGGTACCCATGACATACGTCCACTTGATCGTCTTTCGAGTGCTGCCAGTGCCACCAAGCACGTCTTCAGGCAGAGCCTCAAGCCCAGCGTATCTACCACCAGAACGTCCCATGGCCTTGTCCGCGACTACGATAGACTTTGGGTCCACGATGGTATCCAAGACATAGTGAAGTGTAGTTTTGGTGTAAGACCGTATGTCAGCTGCACAAGATGCGCTATTGTAGTCAAATGTGTGCTCTGCTCCATATGATAACACCATGTTCGCATTCTTCGGTGAGCAGGTTGCGATCACACGAAAGCCACAGCTAGATGGGCAAGACATAATCAGCCGTTAATTTCAACAGGAAGCCTTAGATTCATTGACTCACAGTTTAGCTAGTTGGATCGCCATAGTTCCTGAAGCAGTACTTCCTCCATAAATCAACACGAAAGGTGGCTTGGAGTTCTCAAAAGACTGGTTCAACTCGAATTTGAGCCCCAGAGCATCCTCAGCGAAGAGGGCAAGCCCGACCGTAGCCACACAGCAGCCTCCGATTGCCGCAGCATCTGTCAAGGACAATGACCGAGGAACTTTCCACGTGAGATCTGCAAAAGCACAGGTATACTCTGCAAATGAGCCGGCTTGAGGATCTATGGGATTGGCTCCGTGAACCGCTCCAGCAACCGCATCACCAACTCCAATGCCTATTTCCGGATCAAGCCCGGGACCGGTCGCTACCACCACTCCGGAAAAGTCCATGCCGCATCCGGCCCCGGGGCACGGAAACTGCGTGGACATTTTCCAATCTGATGGATTGACCGCAACGGAATGGACGCGAACCAAAACTTCATCGGATGCTGGCTTAGGCACAAGTCGATCAGAGGTAAGAACCAGCTTCCCTGGTGGGCTTTGAGCTTGGATGATGGCGCGTTGCCTTTCGGGCAAGTTCGAAATACCAAGTGAGCCCATTGTGTGAGAGATCAGATGCTCGAAGATAGAAATTGGATAAATGCTGTGATCAGCTCCTGACTATCAATGCCTGTTGCACCTAGTCCTCATAAACTCATAACATCGGAGCAACTCACTGCTTGAAGCAGTGTAACGTCGGCTAACACGAGACTATTCGGGTGGCGCTGCTCAGTCGCATTCGGGCCCGAGATTTCTCGTACTAAACATCCGACTAATGATAATTGCCGATTAGGGGTGACCTTCTCAGCCTCCAATCATGTGTTGAGTAGCTATAATCTCAGGGGCTTTCAGTCTGGAGGCCGAGGGGTCGGGATGCAGCGGCCTATTGGATCGGTATGGCCGTTCGAATAAGTGGCCCACATGTAGCCTAAAACTCTGGCTATGACATTGAATTAGAGTTATTGCTGACCCCATCAGCTGTAATGTTTTCCATTCCGTATGGGTTATATCAATTGGAAGACCTGTTCTAATGTTCGAACCCTTTGCTGCGTGTCCCCTAGTCATCTGTTACTCTCTATTGTTCTCACCGCTTTCTTCAACTGCCGTTTAAAGTTCGAATGAGTCATTTTAATACGTCGTAACTCAAGCTCGAAACGTTGAGACGATGGTTCGTTTGAAGCTGTGGGGTCTGATCCTCTTCGAGGCTGTCACAACCGTATCGACGGAATCCAGATTCCAAGAGCAGAAGCACCTGGCCGATGATACCAGCAACGATTCCCGCGGGATATCCCAAAGCCAATCACAAGATTGGAAACAAGGATGCAAAGAGCACCGAATTGGGTCTCATGAGACGGTAGCGGGAGATGTGCACTTTGGCCCACGGAAGCACGATGAGCACCCCACCATTGGCAAGTTGTCTGGCATCAACTCAACTTCCTGGGAGCAGTGGGTCTTTGATAGTGTGTCTGACGACGGGTCGAGTGGTATTTTCCTCTCTCTCGGTCGAGATGCCTCCTATTCGTTCTTCGGGCAAGGCAATCTTCATGTTGAGTTCTACGCCTTGCTGGCAGACGGCACCAAGATCCAAGAGCTTGCTTTTGTGGACGAATCCTCCATCTACGACTGTGGGGACTTCGTAGCCAGCACCTGGACGTCTGACAGCCACTCATTCGAATTTCGCGTCCCTAGAGAAACGGAAATCGGAGCCAGTACCACCTTTTCCGTGAGGACGCCCAAGTTCCACGGAAGCTTCCTCCTCGCCGGCTCGGCCCCGGGCCATTTCCCCGACGGAACATTACACGCGTCGCCGCGAAGCTCAACACAGGTGGCGGCGGGGCTCCACATGCATGGCACCGTCCCTGCTGCCCAGGTCCGGGGTAACTTGACAATCAAGGGACGCCGGGGTGGGTCGGTGTCGTACTCCGGGATGGGCGGCCATTTTCACCTGTGGGCCATTGACAACTGGTTCAAGATCATCTGGGGCTTCCGCATTATCCGCGGAACTGCCGGTCCGTACTCGTTCTTCTACTGGGAGCCCACGTCGAGAGTCGGCGGCAGGACCCCTCACTACACGGCTATATTGTTCAAAAATGGACAGAAGCTGGTCTCGACACAAGCCAGCGGACCGCCCATTAGTGAACCGCCGGAGGGAGACTATGTAAAAGTCTTGGCCACTCAGCATGGACGTGGGGCTCGTGCTTCAGTTGCTGGACGCTCGACCGGTCATATCGTTGAGTTTTCATCAGCCGGCAAGCAATGGCGCTTCGAGCTGGAACACCAATATGTTCAGGTTCAAATGCCATTCGGCCGAGATACAGGTCTGGCGGTATTCACAAACAGAGTATTTGGAGGTGAAACCGGGGGGTGTCAATACTTGGGAAGTGCCTTTTCCGAAGAAGCGGAGTTCCCGGAAGAGCTCGCAAGGTGGAAGATCTGGCTGGTCTATGGTGTGGGAATGATGGGTCAGATGAAGGCACGTGCAGAGACCTGGCTGGCTGATTTGGGGTTCTAGTCTTCATTATGAAGCGATTCGATATTGGTTTGGGTTTTCCGCCACCACAAAATACTGCTTTGAGTAGTTTTCTCTCTTTTGAAAGGGGTAGATGCCTTCGCAGCAACGAAACATGAAGTTTAACAGGAGAACCTTTTACCAGCTGCATGGTACTGGGTGTGGTGTGGACAGCCTTGCCATGTAATTAACCCAGTAATGGGATGAGCGTTGGCTGATATTCGGCGAGGACATCGAGTCAGTTGTGACAATAGAGTTCGGAACGCGAAAGCATAAGCTTCGGTTGTGCTAGCTGTCACCAACGTGAGCTGGCAACTTGGACCATGTCCCTTGACGTTGCAATCAGGTGTTGTTACATGCTGAGAGGTCGGTCCGTAGTTAAACAAATCGATTGAGTCTTTCGACCAAGGAGATCTCTGGAATCGTATGTTGCCACAAAGCTTGTTTGCTTACAGTGGAACCGCGACTTACTTTCTCCCTGATACGATGTTATGATCGCGAAGGAGCATGTCGCGACCCCCGGAAATCCCCCACGCTCCGCAACCCGAGTATCTGTCCGAGTACCGGTATCTCCCCCGGTGGCCTGAGCTCCGCCTTTCTGAGGCTGAATGCGGATAACGAAAAGTGCCGTGTGTTCCATGGAACTCCCACCTTTCCCGTGGCAATAAAGACGGGGCTTAAGGGTCTGGGCTGGGTTTAACAAGGCTTTGCTCGCTGCCCTCACCTAGCTCTACCTGGGATGCCAGCGTCCCGTTGCAACGCAAGTCGCCTTCAAAGTTTGAGGGAGTTTCTGTTGTACGTAACCCTTACTGCTTTTGAGGGGCATCCTTCGCACAGTATCCCTACCGTGGATATGCCCTCAGGCGTAACCCAGAACATGTTCCTTCATGACACGGGGAGGCAGGGCCGCAAGATGCTCCCTTCAATACATGTAGCTACCCCTCATCTGGGAGCATCTCTACTGCATAGTACTGACACTTCGGTATCCTCCGCTTGACCTTGTGTCGTTGACAGCGTGCTACACGTTATTAGAGTTCGCCAGCTACAGTTGATGCTGGCTGTCTTTTTGAAGATTAATGATCGCTTAACCTTATCACGAGTCAGCTTTGAGCACCCGCATGCCACTATTGACATGCCGGGACCGAGTACCTTCTGAGTATCGTACCCATGTGATGATGGGCAGACATCGTCGAATTAGTATCTTTTCTTAGATCTGATAGTAGCGCATACTTTACCGATTTCGAGCTCAAGCATTGAACTCACTGTGCAGCGGACGTCTAATTATCGTATATGGCCCGACATCCTCGGATTCTTCTTTTTCGCTAGCGCATTTACTCTCATGTCATCTGGCGTACACTTTCGCCTCCTCATGTCACATTGAAGCCAACGTGAAGCTTGCTCGTATCCGGCCGAAAGACACGAACTAAACTACAGCACCTCACCACCATGTCTTCCACCGATCCTTCCAAACGCACGAACAGCCTAGCCTGCGAGCGATGTCGAGCACAGAAGTTACGATGCGACTGGCCTGCCGCCGGGGGCCCGAATCCATCATGCGAGAGATGCAATCGTAAAGGAGTTCAATGCAGAAAGAATCATTCTCGTCGCGTTGGTCGCCCGCCGAGATCGCGAGCGGGGAGGGCAGGGTCAGCTTCACTTCATCTGGTCGATCCGAGGGGAATTTCGTTCATTCCGCCGGCGCTGTGGCAAGAACCATGCGATAGGCGAGGTTCATGGGAAGAGAATCACACAGGACTCACCCCAATAGATCCTGCAATGGTCAGTAGAAGCACTGGGTGCACTTCCCCAACTCCCCAGCCCTCATTCGATACTGATTGATATAGATGGCGTCCGGCTTGGAGAGTCCGCCACTATCTGGGGTCTTGGCTCATGACGGAGAGCTGATGAACTTCTTCGCATCTGACCTTGCCACGGACTGGGTGGCTTGGAGCTCCGACGGCTCAAATTCTGTCAACTCAGTATCGGAGCAAAGCAGCTCAGGTGAATCTCTCGAGTCCTCGTCTGACAATTCGGAACCTCCACCAAAAGAACCAGAGCCGCCAGTCGAGGACCAGCAGTGTGACCCGCCCCAGCCGCCGGAAAGCTCATTCAATGCGGCCTTGACATGTGAGGTGGCCAGCCTTACTTCGTGTCTATTCGAGCTGGTCCCGTCAAATCCTGTGCAAAAAGCCGAGACTTCACCCGAAGGAGCGAAAGGTAGATCAACGGCAACCTTGCGAAATATCCTGCAACATACACAGACGTTGAGTAATCTCGTCACCAAACACGATCGCACTGGACCCGGAACAGCCCCGTTAGCTCTCGACGGACCGACGAAGTTGCTATTACTCTCGTGTTACGCCAAGATCTTCCAGGCATTTCGCCAGATTTTTGCTGCCGTCTATTCTGGACTGCAAAGCGGAGAAAACATCGCAGAGCTTCTCTACGACCTGCGAGTGGAAGACGTGATTCTTGATGGGGATGACGACCTCAAGATCTTGGTGCTGATGCAGGTTGTCACGCACAAGCTCAACACACTTGGCGTGCAGCTTGGCGTCCCAGAAAAGCACTACATTAGTGTCGGTTCCGGTGGTCTAGATGCCCCAGAGCAAACCCAGCCCCGCGGTCGTCAGCCAAGCTCAGAAGAGACCGAGCCGACGTTGGATGCGATTTTGTCCGGCAGCGAAACGGACAGGTGCGTCTTTTGGGGAGAGTTCAAGGACAACAATAGAGCTATGGAAAGTGCTGCTGCTGCGTTTCGGGAAGAACTTGGATTGCTACGGGGGCAGCTGGGACATCGCAATCGATGTCGAGCGCTGACAATTTTGTCATGATTTATTAGCGAGAGCAAACAAAGATGGCGAAGCACGTTTAAACGGCATGCTGCATTGAGCAGAAAAACCGAAGCTTGTTCCAACAACCGTTTGCCCATCTGACGTGATGAACAGCAATGAGGAATCGGCCCTATTCTTGTTCATCGTGGTACGCACGTGGTGCTGCGAACCACGAATTCTCTGCTCACGACAAGCTGCTCGCGATTCAACTGCTGGACCGACACCCCCCTAGCTCCGACTCAGGTCCCCTAAGCTGTGTTTCCCCGCTCCCCTCAGTGAGGGGTAGGTCGGCCAGGAGACTTCTCGGTGGCTACTGAAGCGAGTCCGAACATGGTTAAGGTTCCTCTGTACAGGTAGTAACACTAAGATCAAACGAACCCCGGAAAGCCTGAGGTGGCATGCGCGGATAACTTCCAGAATATGCACTGATGCTCTGCTGAAGGTTTCCGCTGTGCACTAGTTGACACATGATACAAGCTACAAACTACAAACGGCTGGGAACCAAAATGCAAACTGGGTGAAGTGGTGGCGGTGGCTGACTCACCGAGGATTTGGGGTACTGTAGTTCACGGCAAATTCACGGCAGGGTTGGGGGAACCGTTCCTGTGCCGGAGGATGCTTCATACATAACAGAATGGAATAGCTCGGCGCATCTTTCTGCATGTGCTCATGCCCTAGTCTTCTTGCTACTCCTATTCACATCTGAACGGTACTGAATTCAACGTAGACTTGCCAAACAGGGGCACAAGGGGATAATAGAAATCACCGGCGGCGTCAACCCAAGCGGTCCGAGTACAGTGTGGTCTTGTTCCCGTTTGGGAGCCTTCAACGGCGGTTAATGCAGATTACCGCGCCGATTGTGTGCAAGATTACTGTCAAGATATATGCAACAGAAAACCAACTGATCTTCGACTGGCTCTCGGCGAGGATAGCTCTTTCTATGCGATTCAAGCTCAACTTTCCATAGTGAGTGCGGGAAGTATTGACTTTCCTCATGGCAGCTTGTTCGCACACCCGCCGGCTGGCACACCCGACGGGATAAGCTTGTTTGTGCCGTATTATAAGATACCGCCGTGCAGTAGGTTCGAGGCTATAGACTCTGAGCATGAATTGCACATGGCAAAGGGACTTCTAGAACAAGTAATGTTATCCAGGGCATGTACCTTCCTTCAGAGGATGCTGAACTCTGCAATGATGATCGACAGTACGGCGGCACGCGAGACAGAATGATACCACCTGCTGAGTCGGTCAAAACCTTAAGCGATGTGTACCGATTCCAGGGCATCTAATCCCCGAAGATTTGAATGTTCGGTGACTTAAGGCCTGCACATTAAGCCTGTATTACCACTTTAACGATGCGCTGTGGTGTTCTGTACTACTGCACTACTGAACCCTCACAGCCTAGCCACCCGTTCTCACCATTTTTGTAGATCCATCTCGCAGGATCTCATCGTTCGCCTCAAAGCTAATGGAGCCCAAAAACAGTGATATCACACCCAATGTGCTAGAGTCACGTGGCTCTTTTACAGAAGACACCAAATTCATCGGAAATGAAGACATCGAGCCAACTTCGGGCGATGATTCTGGGACTGCGGATAAGGAACTGCAAGACCCCCTAGAAGATGTTGACGAGGGGCCGAAGCACGTCACAGGCTACAAGCTGTTATTCGCAATGGCAGCCCTCAATCTCAGCGCCATATTGATTAATCTAGACAACGCAATCCTCTCAACGGTACGTAAATACAGACAGCTTCTAAGCAACTCGTATGTAGCTAACGATGCATACAGGCAACTCCCACTATTACCAACGAGTTTCACTCCGTCAAAGATATTGGCTGGTACGTGAGTTCTTATCAATTAGCTGTGTAAGTCACCCGCAACATCATGTTGGTCAAACCACTAGGCGTTGTTGCTCACACACCAAAGGTCTGCTTTGCAGCCTTTGACCGGCAAGTTCTTCACTTACTTCAGCAATAAGGTGAGGGATGTTGTACCCAACTGTTACATAGCAGCGCTCACATGAATAGTGGACATACATCGTGTTCCTAGTCATATTCGAGGTTGGTTCACTGATCTGCGCCCTCTCGCAATCATCAGTTCAGTTCATTGCGGGCCGAACGGTGGCTGGCATTGGTGCTTCTGGCCTTTTCAATGGCTCAATGATCATCATTTACGGCATGGTATCTGCTCAACAGCGGCCCGCTATGATGGGCATCATGCTTGCCATCTCGCAAATCGGACTGATTGCAGGCCCGCTCATTGGTGGCTCGCTAACACAGTACACCAATTGGCGCTGGTGTAAGTATCAAGCAGTGCCCGTCTCTAGGACCAGCAGGTTCTGACCAGCATCACAGGCTTCTGGATTAATCTCCCCATCGGAGGTTTTGCTTGCATTCTGCTTGCACTGGTCTACATTCCTGAACAGATGGCTAAATCAAAGTTCACGGCGGTGCTCACTGACCGCAACATCCTGAAGAAGTTCGATGTTGTAGGCTCAGGGATCCTGATTGGAGCCATCGTCCAGCTCCTGCTAGCGCTCCACTACGGTGGTGCTGAATACCCCTGGAGCAGCGCCATCGTGATTGGGCTCTTCTGCGGTTTCGCCGGAGCCACCATTCTGTTCATGGGGTGGGAATACCGAGCCGGCGCGAATGCTCTCATGCCGCTTGAGATGTTTAAGAACAAAGTTGTGGCATGCGGAGCCGCAATGAATACTTGCTTGTTTGGAATCACGTATATCGCAACTTACTTCATACCTATTTACTTCCAGAGTATCCTTGGCGACAGCCCTATGGAGAGCGGCATTCACATGTTGCCAAGCATGATCGGGTCCATTGTCATGACTCTTCTCTCAGGCATGATGGGTGAGAACCAACATTTCAGGACTCTTAGAGAACAATAGGCTGACATAAAGAAGTTTCCAAACTGGGCTACTACCTCCCGTGGGCAGTATTTGCGGCCATTCTGACCTCAATTGGTGCAGGTCTGATAACTACCTGGTCTACCGATACAAGTGCGGGAAAATGGATTGGTTATCAGATTCTATACGGATGCGGCAGAGGTCTAGGATTGCAGATGGTAGGTTCTACACCACGACTTCAAAGGTTTAGATCGCTTACTTCTGAGCCAGGCTATCGTCGCTGTTCAAACGGCGCTTCCGCCAACACTGGTGGCCATCGCCCTCACCATCCTTGTTTTCGTACAAGGACTCGGCGGTGCGGTGCTCATCAGTATTGGCAACACGGTTTTCGATAACACCGTCATCAACCAGATACTGATACATGCACCTAACGTGAACCCAAAAGCCGTTCTCACAGCGGGCGCGACCGCTTTCAGGAGCCAGGTGTCTGCTGCTGACCTGCCCAACGTGGTAAAGGCATGGGCCGTCGCTTTCCAGAAAACCATGTATATCACCACGGGCCTCTCTGTAGCCATGTTTTTCTCAACTTGGGGTTTGGGCTTTTATGATGTCAGAAAGAAGGACGCCGGCGCAGCGAAAGCATCTAAATGAATTGGCAAGATGGTCTAGAAGCCTGTGCCTTAGCTCAGCCTTGGTGGTCTACCAATCACGTATATGTAGGTAGTTATCGAAGCAACCTTCAGTCTAGCGTAATAGATGCATTGGGCCAATGAAAGCAATGGGGGGCATCATTGCATTCTTTCTGATGAGCCATATAGCCAAGACTACGTGAGCCCTTGTCAACTCGGAGCTGGTCGTTGGTGATCCACGTAACTCTCATCGATCGCTCATGTCATTCTTCTAGTCATCGTCTTGAGTGGAATATTTGGAGGGGCGATCCCCTACTTATTGATCAAAGATGCAGGGACGCAAGGCTTTGACTGTGAAATTTGTGTAATGAGGCCAAGTAGCATCAGCTTAATGAGCCAAGCGACCTCTTGTTCGATCATTTTCCTTTGCTGAATTCATTATTATTTTGTAATGCTCTCTTAGGTTTCTTAAGTCAAACATAGTCATCTTCTGCTAATAGTACTCTGACCCCTTTAAATACTTCCTCGCCACCGTCATACTGCTGTGCATCAACTGACGCCGAGAGGCGGCAGGCGAAGCCAAACGCAGGATGAGCCTCAGTCCATCCAAGTTTCTCAAAATCGAAGACCTCTCGGTACGTCTTCCCCACCCCCTGAAAGACTTCAGGCTCTCTTCCGACGTTTTGCTTCAGCTGTCTGCTATGCAGTAAGCGATAAAGCCTCCCTCTCTGCTGAAGACTAGACGCATTGAGATGCTCAGGTCCACTCTTAGTACCTCTTTCCTCAGCATCGTCTATCAGGTAAATGCATTCCAAGCCTTTCTGAATACAAGATGCCAAATACTCAATCTCGACTAGACTCAAGGGCATCGATGTCTCTCTGACATCGATGGCTATGCGTCGTGCCTGCCACACAGTGAGCGCCATCTCTGTACTCCAGTGAGCCTCAAGAGCTTCGGCTATACTGCTGAAATGGGGACTGCCGTGCGATGAACTCGTCTGCTCGACATACTCGGCGTGGTACTGGCTGGAAAAACGGAGATGCAGCACGTCTCGGTCGTTGTCATACTCGAACTTTCTGGCTTGGCCAGGGAAGTAGACGGTGTTGATGTTCGCAGCTTTGAGAGACGACACCGATGCCGCCTCATGACAGGCCTGGCGCTGAAACCTTCTGTGAAGATACATACTAGGGTCTCGCGTACTGCGCCGCGGCCATGTCATGGTCGGTCGGCTGTCTTCATCTTGAATGCTTGGTACACTGTCGAGGAAGGCGATGTACTCGTGCCTGCTCCAAGAAGAGGCTTCTCGCGGAGGGTGATGATTGGCTGCAAGGGTTAACCCCTGAAAAGCACGTCTGCTGCGGCTATTACCTCGACGCGATGGAAAGCAAACATCAACGACGTGCATTGATGGGCCAGCCACCGCTTCTTCCCAGATAGAACGGCGGAGCTCCGTGGGGAGGCTCGAGAACTGAGGAAAGGTCGTCGGGGCGGTCGCCATCGTGAGAGGTTTACGAAGGAGATGCGCGCGGGAGAGGGAGGAAGTTCGGATGGCAGTCGTCTGGAAGCGGGAGGAGCTAATTGCTGAAAAGTTTGCCGAAGAAGCGAATCCTTTCTGGTCAGTACCTAGGCAATTGGGCGTTTCAGTCTGGTCTGACACATGGGCTGGGCATCAGCTATATGGTCGGCTTTTACTGAAGACCGTAATTGAAGCGACGAAGTCCACAGAGCCTTACTCGCGCAACGTCTTGCATGCCGAAACCGATCCACTCATATTTCGCCGTTCGGCCAGCAAACCCTGTTGCGACACTCGGGCCGGAGTTGGGGCCGGGGCCACACCGAAGGCTTCGGCAATGTGACCCACAACACCTCCGGAGAGAATACCGGGCCCCGAACGAGTCGGTTTAAGGCGCGGCTCTAATGGCTTTTTGGGGACAATTAAGGAAAGTGCGTACGAGAAAGTTGCTCAACGCGTAAATATTTGGAGATTCTGTGTTCTTTATGAAGACATGACTATGCCCAACTTATGCTCGTGATTTAAGCCTCGGAAATTCGGGTATCGGACATTTTGCTGTTCGCCTGAGCTGCCCGCCGACTCCGACGGAAGTATCCATAAGCAGAGGACGATCATTCAACTTGTCGCTCGATTCTTTTGAGACGTTTGAGGTAAGCTAGCCGAGGCCTTTCAGAAAGCACGGAGCCAGAAGCAAGATGATTTGCGCATGCCACCGAAGGAGGCCGTGGCCCTCGGAATGAGATTCTTCATGCACCTAGTATTGCATCTTGGAGATATTATGCAATTATTTCACTGAACGTCTTAGTAAGTTAATCTTCTTTCTCTTCGGACTCCTCTTCGGAGACCTCGTCGGCTGCGTTCCCTTTCTCCTGTGGAGGCAATTGGCCTACCAGCCCCGCAAGTATCCCCCTTAATCCTTCTTTGAGTTGTGGGTTGGCGGTCTTTTCGATGCGCTCTTCCAATTCATGTATCCGCTCCCGAAGCTCGGCCCTATTCGCCTCTTCAGGGTCGACTTCACTCTCATCCTCGTCCCCTGATTCGTCGGCTTCCTCCCTCGTCAACCCCTTGCCAAACGCCGCCTCAAATGCATCTGCCATACCGGCGTCCTTGATGGCAAAAATGACTTTATCGATGTCATTCCAAGTTTCCTTGTTGCCCTTCTTCTTTCCCTTGCTGTCATTTCGAGGGAGGAGCACCTTCTTCCAAGCCGAAGCAACCTCCCCGACTGGATTGCCAAAGGCGCCGCAACCCCAAGCCCCGAGAACCACCTTGTTCACACCCTTGGCCTGACAAATGCGTAAAACCATCTTCATCTTCTCCAGAGTGAGTTGGCGGTCCGTGTCATTGACGTAGTGGCTGAATCCCGTTGATTCGTCTCGATCTGTCTCTGGATTCCGCAGCATCGCAGCACTAATGCAGTCGACGAACCAGCGTTCCTTCTTCTCCAGCACTTCATCGGAGTTTTCACCTCGGAAAACCAGAACGTCGGGAGTGTATATCGCGCCAAGCTCTGGGAGCCGGTACCACTCATCCTTGAGGGATGGAAGCAAGGTACATCTCATGCAGAGTGACTCCTCCTGGCTCCCCGCTCCATTGATGAACCCGCCTCCAGGCGTAAGCGGTGAAGCCATGTTGAGAATGGCGACCCGGCCCTCACCTGGTTGGTCAGATATGAGGGAGTGAGCTGCCGTGAGAGTATCCGCCACGCGAAGGACAACACTTGGTGAGGAGTCAGCTTCAAGTGGCCTGGCTGAACCATCTTTCGAGGTCTCCAGCTGCTTCTTCGCTGGTTTTGGCTCAATGATGAGCTCTGCGGCTTCGATTCCCCTGCGAGCGCGGGGGTGTGTGGGAAGGAGAGATGGAATGAGCTGGTTGAGTGTGACCTTGGCCTTCTTAGCCCGGGCGGCTTTCCGGAAGCTCGCCGGCGGCTGGCCGACTGAAGGTTGAAGTCTTCCCATGACAGCAAAATTCAATACAATGTATGAGAAATGAGTTGAGCAGGTGTTATCAGAGTAATGTGTGAGAAAGTGGAAAGAGCATCTCAGTATTAAATGGCGACTTCGTGGGTGGGTCTTCGGCACCCTGATGGCCTCCGGAGTGACTGCTTACTGTGTCAGTGAATTGATTGGATATCTCTGTTTCAACACACTGAGGCTCGTTCACGTCGATCACCTGCGTCCAAGGTTCCGAGTCTTGTAGGGGAGGTGATTGCCTTTCTCACGATGACGCCGTCGGAGAAAATGGTGTCCAAGCTCCGATTTTCTTGTGGCGAACGACAAAGACTCCAGCCGTTGCCAGCTGGCCCCACTATCTGCCGTGGTAAGATGTCCGTCAGTCCAGTGAAACTGCCAAGGAGTTGGAGTAAGCCACGGCTTGAGTACGATATTAGGTTATTGTTTTCTTATTTCTCGGCATTTGTCTAAGAAGATTAATGACTACAAATGCTCGTCCGTGAGAAAGGGGCTGGTGAAAATTTAAATTTTCATGATTCCCGAGCAAAGTGAGGCATTCAGATGGGACTGAAAATCTCAGAGTGAGCCAGCTCACTGTGGAATGAAAACCCACTCACTGAGTGAGCCGCTGAAGTCACCGGACCCACCCGGGAAACAATCTCAAAATGGACACGGCGCTCGCCGGAGGCTCCTGCCCTGCCTCCAACCTCACCCAGTTCGTTGCAGCAACCTCGTTCCCGAACACCGGCACCGATTCAACCCAACTCGTTCTGGCCGCAGCAGCAGTTTCCTTCACCATGGCGTCTCTCAAGGAGCCTCGACGCGTCGCAGAGATCATGCTCTCCTGGCTGGGCCTTGACCTCGTCTCCATCGTCGAGCTCCAGACGCTGTGGGCCGGCTACGGCCACATCTGCGCCATCACCGCCCGTCCGAGTGACGCTGTCAACGGAAACTTCGACGCGGGCGCCATCTCGCCGGCGCTGCGGCCGGACGCGCAAGGATCGTATCGCCTCGTTATCAAACTCATCTCGCCGCCCCGCGCCAAAGCTGGGGACGAGGGGCACCTGCGCAAGATGCTCAGCTACGAAGTCGAGCAGTACTTCTACTCGGAGATCGCCCCGAAACTCAGCGACGAAGTTGCCGTTGCGAAGTGCCTCGCTTCGACGCGAGACATGACGGGCAAGCCACGCGCCAATGAGTTGGAGGCCTTGATGGCGACCATCATCACCGATCTTCGCCCTCAATTCCCCGTCGCGGGCGAGAAGAGACTGGTCCTTAACCGATTGCAAGTCAAGGCTGCGCTAGATTGGCTCGCGAAGTACCACAGCAGTTCATGGGAATCGCTGCCAGACGACCTGGACAGGTTTCTTCTGCCGCCGCTGGACGAGCAAAAACGCAGAGACTCTGGTCAAGCACCCGCGGATCCCAAACTATGGCTGAACGGAGGGTATACCTACCTAGCGACGAGGCGAAAGGAGTACGGCTCGTTGTGTCGGGACGACTACTCCGAATGGAACTCGGCTTTCTGCGACCCTGTCGACGGTTCTTCCAAGTCCGTCGCCGAGTTGGTGGCTGACTTTCTCACGCCCTCCGGAAGGCCGTTCGAATCCTACATCCATGGCGATGTGAAGTCTGAGAACCTGTTCACCACGCAGCCAGGCGACAAGGTTGCCTTCTTCGACTTTCAATACGCCGGACTGGGCGTCGGAACCTGCGACCTCGCCAAGCTCTTCACCTGCTCAGTACCTCTTGAGATGCTCACGCAGCATGAGGACATACCCGATCAGCTGCCGATGGATCAAGGAGAGAAAGCATTGCTGGAACAGTATCGGAAAACACTGTTGAAGGAGAGACCTTCAGGGAAGGGCTCATCGGAGTACGATTGGGATGTCTTCGTCCGCCACTGGGAGACGGCGTTAGTCGATTGGTGCCGATTTCAGGCGTCTTGGGGATTCTGGGGAAACACAGAGTGGTTAGAAGCAAGAGTTAGATCTATTTTGGCCGACGAGGGCTGGGTAGCCTGGCTGAAGAAGGAGGTGACAAAGGAGTAGATATAGAGTATGGTTTGACGACTTCAGCCAATTCTTGGTGTAGAATCACGGGTAGAAAGAACGCGTATGATAGATTAGACTTGAGCGAAGCTGTTTCGAGCACTTGCAGACTGGGCTTCCATACTTCTCTCCTACTGCATCTTCGCACTGAATGGGCACCCTGGGCCGCTCATCTTCTCTTTGATGAATGCCTCGTATGATTTATCCAGCGTCCTGCTTTCCTCCTTGCGCTTCTTCACTTCCACCTCCGGTAAGGTCTCCAGTTGCTCGAAGAAGGGTACTTTAGGATCAGGCAGCAAGGCCTCTGAGATGAGGAACATTGTCCTCACGATGAACACGATGACCGCTCCAAGTACTGCATTGGCCGGCTCGATGCGGAAGTACTTCAACGTCGTCGGTAGCGACAGCGTACGGGGGAAGGCCATGCCGAACCACCGCAGCCCCGGAGGAAAGTACCGATATGCAAAAAGGTTGAAAATCGACAGTCCAACATAGCGCGCTCTCTCATCATATTTGCGAGGGGTGTTCTCATAGGCCTCACAGAACGTAATGCAGCCCTCGAAGTCGTCTGGAAAGCCAGTGATTGGCACACCGTTGCCTTCAAGCTTGAACAGCGGCATCATGTCCCGCCAGAAGTGATGGGCCGCAATCTTCTGCTTCTCAGTGAAGCCTGAGAGCCCGAGACGTAATCGGAGACGATGCATGAGCACGGCGCTGAAAGTGAGCGTGTACACGTAGTCTTCGTTGTGGGTGAAGGTGTCTGGGTATCGGCTCGCTAAACCTGCGTGCAGTTGGTTGATCCTATCAACTGCATCTCGACAGCGTTGGTCGCTGGGGCCGTAGTACCACCATGCCATGTTGTAATGCTCCGTCCTGTCAACACGATCGCTCGCTTTGTGGACTACTTTGCCGCCATCTGAACGCCAGACAGGTGTAGATCCATGGCTTGATACGACGAAATTTGGGAAGGTGAGAGTGTAGATTAGGTTGTTGGCAAAGTCTGAGAGGTGGTAGCTCGATGTTAGGCGCCAGATGAGTTCGTAGTCGGTTTCGGAGTCGAGGGAGTCGACTGCTTTGGCAATCCATTTGTAGCCGTCTTGACTTATGTTGTGGTCGGATGGCAAATGCATATTTTCAGTGATTTAGACAGCGAGTTTTGGTAATCGCAAATGATAATCGGAAACTTGGGAAATGCCTTGAACCCAGTGGTTTCCGTATTCCTTCGAATTGAGTCGTTGTTAAATACATTCTTCAGCACATGCGATTTGGGTGTTCGTCGGGGAGTTAGGAGCTAACCGACAGCCTCTAAGATCTTGTGATGTGAGTTGTTCTTGGATTTACTCGACAAGTTGCTCCGTGTGTCTCCGGGCGGCCGCCTCAATGATCTTGGTCGACATGGGCACTGAGGAGGCCGAATAGGAGGCTCGCAATTCCGACTGTCCGTCAAAGAAGAACGCAACCCACTTTTGGGGTGCTCATGGTGTCAATGCACGACGCCCGGAATTCCGAATCGCCCGATTAATAAGCGGCCAAAACATAATGACAGTGAAGTTGAAATAAGAGCAACGCCCAATCCAGGAGATAGGGATGATAGTATTATTTCCTCATCCATCTAGACAAAGTTGGTTACGCGTGCTGCGAAGCTACCGGACTCAGCACTGACCGAGGTGCTTTTACTGCTTTTTCCCCTACTGTGAAAACCCTACTGGGTGGGCTCGAAACTTCCTCAACATACTGCTGGCATGCTATATAGAGGGATTATGTATTGAGGGCTGTCTTGGCTTGTCTTCGTCATGTGAACTGCGTGGGATTTGGTACCAGGTCCGACCGTGTTGAAAATTCTAGATGTAGTAAAGACTGTCGTTTGCAACCTGAGTTGCTGCCTGTCTGATCTTAACCTCTTTAGAGGCTTGACTTTTCAACTTAATAGGTAAGACCAGCTAAAATGTAACCATCTTACATAAACCAAGTTCCTTACGCCATTCCCGTCGTTGTTGCTATTGGATCCCTGCGTATGTTGCTCTTCATATCTATCCTGGCCCGGCTTTCTTGCGAATATCGTATCCATACACTCCTCAAACACGAGCAGTCCCATTACAGTACCGATCTTGTGTATCAGTCCTCCTCATTGGAAGATTCATCGTTTCGTTGCTTTCCCCCGCCTTTCAATCTACACACGTTTTTCGACTCGCTCCTGTTTCCCTCTTGCGTGTGCTCGTCGCTAACATCAGACTCAACCTTCTTTCCCTTGATTCACCGGATGCCAGCAAAGTTGTCGACACGACCCTTTCGATTGTTGTCTTCAGATCTCCTGAACAGGTCCTTGGGCTTTTTGTGGGCTGATAGACGCGGGGCTCCTTGAAAATCATGTTATCTAGCTGCATTTATTGTGCGTCGCGAAGTCGAACTCGGAACAGCAGCTACGGTGTCTGTGTGTGCAATCATTCGAGAGCAATTCGGGATTGATTTTGCTGCATTTCAATCATTCAAGTCGACGACATCTGTTGATTTCTCACTATGGCAAATGAGGATGATGAGAGAGCACTGAACAGTTATACAGTCTCCACGTCATGCGTCCGGAAAGATCAAAGGGGGTAGAAAGCCAACCTATGTCGCCACTAAATTATCTTCGCCTGCCCATGCCGCCCGTTTATTGAGAATCTGTTCAAACACCTCTATTCCTCAAGAGCTTTGGCTTACTTCTTCTCCTTAGTGAATGCCCAATGGAAGCGCCGCACTAGCTCCTCACTCTAAACATCAGCCACTCCACAGTGCATTCTTGTGATTAATCGTGCTGAACGATGGATCCCGTGTATCATTCATCTTCGCTAGTAGATTCGCTTTCTGAATCATCTTCGGACTCGTCGATTTGTTGCTCGTCCCGCCCCTTCGACTTGGCTTCATTTTTGAGCCTACTTTTATTGCCGTCATGTTCATCGTCGTCACTGTGAGACTCGTACTTCCTTCCTTTGGCGCTCCGAATGTCAGACAGATCCTCGCCACGTCCTCTTCGACTGCCTTCTTCAGAACGCTTAAGCATTTCCTTGGGCTTTGGGTAAGCAGATAGACGCGGTGCTCCTGGTTCATGACTATCCTTTCTCCATGAGCTCTTGGATGCGCGATCGGCATCGTCTCCTCGGCACTTGACCACTGTGATTTTTCATTTGCACTCGTCAGCATCACTGAGGCTTTCTGGCCTTTGCGATCCAGAACTTACGGTAATCTTCAAATTCGCCGACCACCTTCGAAACTGTACCAAAATGTTTGCTTCTGAGCTGAATGGTTCGGTACTTCTTGGCCTTCTTCGTCAAGGCCTCTTCCTCGCTGACATTCTTTTCTTCCAGATACTTGATGCGCTCATATGAAGCTACAGCGATGGCTGTCTGAAATGCATTGCGAATCTGCCTTCCGTTCCAGGTCGCCGCGCTGAGGCCATCCGATTTCTTGTCTTTGATGTCATCAAAGTGACTTTCCGCCCATTCGAGAAGCTCGTTCCGGTCAAAACAGACCTTTACAGCCTTCTTCTCGTTATCCAACTCAATTCTATCCAGGATATTTTCCCAAATCTTCTTCGTCCCAGGTGCATCGATGGACTTGTATCTCAGTGCAACATGAATTCGAGATTTAAAAGCTTCGTCAATGAGTCCTTCTCGATTAGAAGTGAGGAATAGAATGCCTGGATAATACTCCAGGTGACGAAGAAAGACTACAGAAGTTATAATGAGTAAGCTTGGAGTTTGAGAAAACGGGTTACGAACCTGAAACTATTCCATTGCGGTCTAGATCGTGGATGTTGCGTTCAGCAAGGTAGACGTCGGCCTCGTCAAGCAGAAGGACGCAATTCCATCTGTGAGCCAATTTGAAATGCTGGTCAAGATTTCGTTGAATTTCCACAGCCTCTGATCCAAGGTCACCACACGTCTACATCTTAGTTAGGGGATATCGCCACGAAGTGATGTTTGTTCCAGATCCTGGGCTACTCACAATGGCGTACAATGGTCGGGCTGGGTCACTGTAGGCCGCAATCGTTTCCGCAGTACTCGTCTGTTCATCTTGTCAGGACAATGACGACTCTCGTCGATAGAGGGAGGTTCTTACCTTTCCCACCCCTGGCGGACCGTAAAGAAAGATGACGACTCCGTTACCCTTTCCCTTGACAATGTCAATTTCGGTCTTCGACTTCTTCCCGCTCCCGTCCTTGCTCTCGGCAACTATGCCGTGATTCTTCACCAACGATTGTAATAGTCGTTTTGTCTTAGAAGGGATCACGAGATGATCAAAGGACTGCTGTCGTCTGGGCTCGGTTGACTGCATCATTTCGAATTTATACATGTCGAGCAAATCTGATCCATCAGAGCACGTCAGCTGGTTTCGAAACAAGTAGGAAGAGTTTTGGGCTGCCTTACACCAGTCTTTTGACTTCAGTCCATACCCTAGCAAAATGCGCGGCAGCATAACAAGCTGGTCTTCCGAAAAGTTGGCGAAGTCTTCAGCTGATACTGTCAGAGAATATTTGCCAGTGGCTCTGAAATCACTGGCACGCTTCATCTCCAGTTTGCTCACTGACATGTTGATGTCGCAAGTCCAACAATTTTGCTTGTCGCAACGTGCACCATACTCGTCCTCTTGTTCGATGAATGGTAGACTCAGGGGTATTGGCTCCAAGTATGGTTCAATGCCGAAGACATTCGCCTCATAACCAGAACTAAAGTCAACGAAAACTTCCTCGTCGACGAACTGAGGCGCCTGAGGCTGTACATTCAGTCCCTTGTACACACCGTGGCCGTATCGCAAGCTTCTGAACGTCTCACCCTTCTTGATCAAGGATTCAAGAACTGGGTCGTCAGCTTTACAGAATCGTTTTGGGTAGTAGGTCAGCTCCGAAATTTCCCTCTCTCCTTCGAACGGTTTGATGAAGACAAGCTTCTGTTCAGGCATAAAGCGAGAGCCATTAAATCGCCATCGATAGGAAAACAGATGAAAGTCATCCTGTTGGGAAACATCGCCCTTCAAGTACTGGGGTACTATCATATCATGTCTCTGGTACCACGTAATGTCCCACGTAACTGCCAGGTATTCTTGCGGAGGGCGGCTACTGGTGGGACAGTAAACGCAGTAAGCTTCAGCAGAGCTTGGGGAGTCCGGACCCTCCCCACGCCCGATTATGATGTCTCCTGGTTTGAACAGATACCATAGGTTCTGGTACGATATCCGCTCAAGAGTTCCATCGGCGACTTGTGACTGGACCTTAAGGAATGAACCGAGGTGTTCCTCACACATTTGAACAAAACAACGTAGAAGCATGATCTCTTCCTGTTGACTCTTGAAAGGATCGTCTTCAGAAGTACCGTTGCTTGATCCCGAGGGGCCATCAGGTGAAGATTTGTTGACACCATCAGTCGTGACCTCAAGCTGTCCATCGAATGTGTATTCCATGTCCTTCAGACCGGACTTGAACTTGTCATAGAGATGAACAAATGCCTGTAAGTTGCGATGTGGTGATTAGTTCCCAAAGCATCAACCATGAAGGTCCAGTATTTGTCGCCATCCGCCATGATTGACTGGCTGCCCAATACAGAGGTTTGAGTGTTGGACCTTTGAGAAAACACTTACCTTGAATGGGCTCGGAGCGCTACATGAACAGTCAGTTTCAATACTAGGTATTGCGTCTCGTTTTGGTTCTTGGGGGACTTACATGTATGGCACATGGGAGGCTTCCGGGAGTAAGTTCTGACTGAAGCCCTGCAGGAGTTGATCGAGGCGAACGGAGTTGATGATGATGTTGATCGGAAGAGCACTAGGGGATGGCTCGTTGTCCAATCGGTCGGCAGTTTTGATTCCTTCATAGCAGACGATCATAGCATATTTCTTCAGCTTGCCAGTGGCGATCTCTGCAAGTTTATGCTTCCAGCTGATTCCCGGCTTCACATGCAATACTTTGCACTCTGCCAAGCTGCCCAGCTCTTCCTTGTTTTTCTTAGTGGCAGCGGCTGTATCCTCAGCCTTCGCAGCTTTGGCGGAGTCGTCTGCGTCCTTCGGCTTCGTGGCTTCGTTGTTCTTCATGATTTCTTCGATTTTGCTGTGCCATTATTTGAGCTCGGAACAGGGACAGAAAAGCAGCTGAAGCACGTACGTCTTGGAAATCAATTGTTCCATCTTCTCGAGCCTGTTCGTCAGATCTGTTACTTGTCGCTGAAGCGCAGCAACGACTTCGCTTTGATCGGGAACTGGTCCTTTCCCCTGGTCGGAATGTGGAACATTCATGTTTGCACAAGATCCAGCCCCGTTCGGGACTGGAATATCCCCTAGAGGCAGGTTCACGCTCTCGGGGGCAGCTTCCGACATGGTCAGTAAAGTTGCTATGAGTATGATGAACTATCGTGTGTGAAGTCTTCCAGGCTTAGACTTGGGCGTGGTGTAAGTTGGGATCCCAGGCTGTACCTTGTCTTTGTAAGACAGACGATGTACACAAGTCAACCCGGGCAGAGCGTGAAAAAAGCCAGGAAGAAAAGAGGAAGCGGCAAGATTTAATCATTGATATCAAGAAAGCGGGATATTGCGCCAACCTGTGCCGTCATCCCATCTTCTATTAAATCACAGTGCTCTGACTGAGAGAGGGAAAAGCCGCGGAGCCTCGTCTCTTTTCGTCTTACCTGCAGGCAGCAGCCTGACTACAGCCCCTGTTCTACTGCGCCATCAGACGCCCATGTTACATCCGAACGATTATGTGGCCCTTCCAGGCCAAGGAGTTGGAACGCTTGCCGACGGCCCCCACAGAAACTGTGCCACGATATCTAAATGCAATTGGTCGCCTGCTTCTGCTCAAGTCTTATCTTACTCCGCGACTCCGCCCACCACCAATCGTAGCCTGATTGAGCTTTTATTAATTGCTGACATGCATAGCTTGCGCCCAAGAGTATGCTCAAGGATCGGCACACTTGTGCGGAACCCAGCCTGCTCTAGGTCAGCTTTGTGACTACCGCGAAATGAAAAGGGGTCTAGTCGGTACAATATTTCCCCAAGTTCCAAAAGAATTCCTGCACCTGTCTTCCGGATTCTTGAGCTGCGTCCGCTGTAGGCGATTTCCCACATCCCTCAACATTAGACCAGGTTTCTTTCTGCGTTTGTCCGGCCAAAACCTAGGAGCCATTTTAGGAGCCCCACGAGATGACAACTCACAAGCCAACAGATGATGCTAGTCTCAGTATAGAGGGACAGTACACGGAGCAAGCCGTCTATGGAACACTCTTGCATCCAAAAAGTCAGCCTGTGCAAGAGTTCTTGTCAAGGGCCAACGGCAGCTTGCACCCCGCATTCGACGCCAGTGGCTTTGCTATAGAGCGTGGCAGGTTGATCATCTCTGTCCAAGATTTTAACCACTCTTCTCAAGGGGAGTGTCAAGAGTTGTGAGTTCGTCGTCTATGTAAAGACACTGTCATTCATATACTGAGTCGCGATAAGAAACTTGCAGGAGCTGTACCAAGAGTGTTTCGAGGCTCATCATTCTTTTCTGAAAACCTACTACAAAATTTTCAAAGCCAACAGTGATGAGGAAATCGACGCAGCTGTTGAGCTTCTACCACCTTCGAAGGCAAAGTCCTTCCAAGAGGTCGAAGCAGTCATAACAAAAGTTTGTGAGCACCTCGAGACCAAGAAAAGAGCAAAAGCGGAGGCAAGAGACAGGAATTCACTCGTCAAGCGTCTTCATAAAGCTTTGACTGCATTCAAACGACAGTCTAAGAACATTGAGATGTTTCTTGGCGTGCTGCCTTCCAGCAGCGAATACGTTTCGTTGCTTTGTGGGGCTCTGTCTGTGGTGTTCAGTGCAATCGACAAGCATGAGACTCTGAAAGAGAATGTGTGCAAAGCCATAGATGAAATACGGATGGCGATGGGCAATCAAGAGTATGCAGCACAAGTCTATCGCGAGGATCGCCAAATCCACAAGCTTATGGCCAGCGTTTGCGCTTCAATCTTCGACATACTGGGATATATATTGAGGTTTGTGGGCCAAACATCACTGAGTAAGTTGAGCTTGTGGGCATCCGATCCCGTCTGGGCAATAACCGGACATTCCGTCACTGACGCTCTCACAGAAAAGGTCATCATGCCTTTGTTGCGTCCTGCAACGTACGGCGATGATTTGCCAGATCTCCTTAGTCAACTTCAGACGAGGAGTCAACACTTGGTTGAGCGCGCTCAATTACTCCTGCACAGCTCAATCCGCAAAAGCCAGGAGGCATCTTCAAAGATGACGGCACTGCAGTTGCAGGAGATTCTGAAGATATCTTATACCCTTGATAAACTTCACAAATTCGTCGCTAGTGGATTTGAGGATCACGAGGGTAAGTGTCTAAAAGTCCATGGTAATGCATTTGAAGCCACAGCAACACCTTACGAAACAAATGCTTACCTTACACATTAAACTTAACAGGGATATTGAAGAGTCTCATAAATGATCAGAGAAGCAAACCAATTGAGCAACTCCCGGTCAGTTTTGACGTCGAGAAATTGCTAGACGACATGGACTATCAGGACTCCCTTGTTGCCGATGACAGCTCCAGTGTATTGCGAGGCTATCATCTCACTAGGCAGGAGGAAATCGTTGTCGAGCTTCTTACCGGTCATATTCGTCTTGAGTCGTTCGTGAAGGTCAAAGGATCGACCGCTCTTCTTCTCCTCGGGGGAGACAGCTGCCGTGATACTCCACGTTCTGCCATATCCTACTTCAGCGCAAACATGGTCAAATCACTTACACGCATCGCCACTCAGGAACGGTCTATATGTATTCTTTCGTACTTTTGCGGTCAGCATACAGATGACGGAGAACCATTTTCTTCCCCTGTGGAACTGATCACGACTTTTGTTCTTCAGCTGCTGAGCCAGTCAGGGCATGCCATAGACCCTGAGGTGCTCATCCAGTCCAGGATCATGGATACTCTTTACGAGCAAAAGGTAGCGTCTGTCTGTAAACTCTTGGTGAATTTATTGGATGCGGCATCAAAAGATACTTTGGTATTCTGTCTAATCGATGGCGTCAGCTTCTTCGAGTCGCCGAAGAGGCGTAAGGATGACATGGTAATTGTCGTTAGACTGCTCTTGCGGCACGCACGGAAGAGACAGAGGAAGGCGTGCGGTGCAAAGTTGAAGGTGCTGTTTGCCGCTCCATCGGGTTGCGACGAGCTGCATGAGCTGTTTGAGGAATATGAGATATTCACTATTCACGACGGCCTGCATAACAGAGACGCATTGAGATAACATTGCTCTCCGTCATGGCGTCTTGTCACACACCATAAGAGGCTATGAAAGAGATAAGGGAGCTTGGTCTTGGCATCTGTTTTTCTTGATAGTGTCTTAGTAGATTCCTTCCCTACGCTTGTATGAACAATTATACTCCCGGTACACGAAACTATTCATACTTCCTGGGTATCCCGATCGCTTGATTTGACCCGTGCCGTGTTTAACATAATGCTGGATCCAACATCAAGACATTATTGGCGCCCGAAAGAAGCATTTCCAACTAAGATGTATCTCGATGGAGATCTTATTAGCTAGGCGAAGTTTTCCAATTTGGTACATTCTTAGTCATGACTCTGATCATTCACTGCCCCTAAGAAGCCGAAGAAGCCTACTCAAAGTATGGTGGGGAAAATGACAACATCGATATCTTCTTTCAAGCTACGACCACCAATTTGTTGTAACAAATCTGATCAAACTGGGAGTCTGATTACAAATTGTGAACCCGATGAGTTGATTAACAATCACGACGCATTCTCTCACGTCTCTGGTGTAAGACAGCTTGGGCAACTGTGCTTCCCAATTGCCTTTGGAACTTAGCTTCATTAAACCTAAAGCGCTTATTTCTCGAGACGAAAATGACGAACATACTCATCACTGGCGGCTCAGGCTATCTTGGTGGATCGCTACTTGCATCCTGGCGGGATGCAAACATCACGGGCTACGACAAGCTGTACGCACTGGTTCGATCCGACTCGCAAGCTGCCGCAGTAAAGTCGGTCTATGGCGCGGAGCCTGTCAGATGTAGCCTTGAGGAAGCCGACATCAGGAGTCTGATCGTGAATAACGGCATCACTGTGGTATTTTATCTGATTGATGCTTACCGTGCTGAGCGCCCCGTTAGCTTCATCAAGGCTCTTGGCGAGGTTAAGAAAGCAACTGGACGAGAAGTTCACTTTGTCTACGCAAGTAATTTCCTTTGCTGAGCGTCTGGACCTACTTTCTAACTGACCTTCAGACTACTGGAACGAAGCAATTCTCTGAGCATGCCGGTGCGCCGACAGACAAGGCAATTCTGGACACGGATCCGAATATGTATGACATCCAGAGAGGCCAAAGGGCGCCAGTCGAGGAGATGGAGGTGGTATGTCGCTCCTATTCTAAAGACTGAAACCCCCTGCTGAGAGCTTGAAAGGCTGTAGCCACCAACTGTGCAGTAGTTGATACCGGCGAGAAGTACGACGTCAGGGTGTACCTGTTTTCACCCTGTGTTGTCTGTGAGTACTGAATATCTCAATATCAACTTGTTGACTAACATCATCAGACGGCAAGGGACTTGGCTTTGGGAATCCAATTTCCATCCAAACGGTGGATGTGGTCACCGCAGCAAAAGGGGCAGGACGAGTTTACCGGATTGGGCCTGAAGGACAGGTACGTCACGGCACCGACGTCTTTTGTTCTACCCGCTAATTGTTCGAGTAGACATGGCCGGTGTGCCACATATCCGACAACACGTCGCTCTACATTGCGCTGGCCAGAGCCATTTTGAACGGCTCCAACCCCGATCATGGGAAGTTCGGTTACTACCTAGCTTCCTCAGGCTCAGCCAGCTGGGATGATATTTACGCAGCTGTGGCCAAAGCAATGGCAAAACGGGGTGTCATTGATGATGACACAGTCGCACTCGTCACAGATGAAGCGTTGAGGAAGATGTCCGATGCGTTGAATGTAGAGCCAGCGTCGGCGGTCTCCAAAGTTGGTGGAAAGTAGGTCGCTCATTCCTCCTTCCACCATCACACGAACTGATAATCTCTACCAGATCGACGTATACTCCCGGGCATGGGAGAAAGCTGGGTTGGAGCCCGCAATTTCCACCAAGTCATATCGTTGACTCCTTGGACGATGAAGTTGAACTCATCTTGGAGAGTTGGACCACTAAGCACCAAGGTATTAGGTAGCACATGACTATGTGGACTGTACCAGAGGGAAATCACGCCACAACGTATCATAAATTTGCTATTTGGGTATTCATTCAGGTCATTTTTCCCGGACTAGCTTGCCCGTAAGAAATTTTACGCAACGGTTTGTTTCCCATAGGTATCGATATTTTCATATAGAATTAAAAGTCTGTGTGGTTCTATGAAGAAGCCACACAATACAAGGTGACCAAATTCCGCTTTCGCTAAATGTCCTTTTGGCGGTTCCGCTCGCAACACCCACGGTGCAGTCTAGATTTTTCAAGAGGTCTTCTTGAAGTTTAGAGTCTGGCCGTTTAGCATCTTCCTCACTCCTTCGTAGTATTCCGGCGTCAACTTCACCCAGTCCATGCAGTCCGAACCGCAGGGAATGGGCATGCCAGTGCCGTTGACAGCGCCTCCGAGCACGGTGGCTAAATTCATGCACACAGGGGGCACTCCTGTAGCTCGGATTCCATGGTCACCAACAGGACCTCTGATCGATATGTTTGCTTGGCGGGCTTGGTTGAAGCAATCATCCCAGTTATACTGAGGCACTCCAGGAGGAGCCAGGCCGGGTTCCTCTAGCGACTGAGCTCGACGGGTTTTAATCTCGGCTGCAATTTCCCGCACCATTCTATGCGCATAGGTAACGGCGTACTGGTGACGTCTGTCTTTGCCTTTGTTTTTCTCATCTTCTTCCTTCTTCTTCCTCTTTTCGTCGTCCTTGATGCCGACGGCGATTATCGCGGTAGACGAGCCGGCAAGAACCCCGAAAGTTGCGGCGGCGCCTATCCATGCTATTGCTGGTGGCGCCGGCACACCTTGAATGAATGTCAGGGCTGCAAATATTACCGTGAATACTGCTGTGCTTCGCATCTTGATAACGAGTTGGGAGTGCTGGGTTATTTCGAACCGCTGATGGAACGTGCAGGATATAAGAGAAAGCGTGCGCACGACTGGCTATCCCATGTTTGAGGACTAGAAATTTGAGGTCTTATACATATCTCACTTAAACATTGGATACAGTGTCAAATTAGTCATCGAAAGGAAGTTCATCCTGTGCTCCATTCAGTGGGAAGGTCGGTAGAAGTAGACCATAATAATCAGTCCCACAAGTACGACCCATCTCTCTTTTGTTTTGTTTCACCCGCCGGATGCGTCAGAAGTTCATCAAAGCATTACTGTCATCAAGCTCATATCTTATATGCCGTATACTTTTCTCTCATGCTGGAAGAAACTTGACTCCAAGCTTTTCCCGATGTCGCATTCAGCAACGCTTACCTGTGATTGTTCGTGGAGAGACACTATATGAACTCTCGTCAATCTGGCTGAGCCGTTCTCGTAACTGGAAGCCATTGAAGCCGCCTATTTCATACTTAAGCGCGGTATTGATGTTGCAAGTGCCTGAATCTCTCTTCGATCCCGGCCATGATCTCTCAAGAAGGCAGGGCCTGTGATACCGTGTAAAGTGCAGTTAAGTGGTGAAAACATACTGTGGTTGCGCGGAATTTCCTGTGAAATTCCGCTCTAAGTGCCGGACATCCTAGTTTCCGTCTTTCCGCGCCCCGCAAACCCCTCCCGCCTCAGAGCCAGTGATACAGGCTCACGAGATCAACTGCCAGGGATGAACGGTGCTGACATCCGAACTAATAATGCTAGTTCACGAGATCGTGATTGGAGAATGTGTAACCACAAGTTGAAGGTGCTGTAAGATTGTGTTCAATGCCTCTCAGTTGGCGAGACATCTCACAGACCTCAATTGCAGCATCTACCTCCTCATTGTACAAGCAGTGTACTGTTACCCCCAGCAAAGAGCTGTCCTACAGGTGCCAGTTCTCACCGCTTAGCGCTGTAACCAACGTAGCACCCGGCTATCACTGAGCCGGACAATACGTCAGAGTGCCTTAGCCTCCCCGTCCGGCCTGAAAACTCTACCCCGGAGAGGATAACAGTGGATCTTGCGGGGTGCTCTATGCGGGGTGTGCGGCGGAGGATGCCATTGCCCAACATTCAAAACCGCGGGGGTTCACCAATTCCGCTCATTCTTCCTCCCATCTGTGCCACCCAACATTTGTCGGACAACAACCCCTAGAAAGACGGCCTGCAGTACGTGGAGAAAGAAAAAAGCAAAAGGGATTACGAACTCTTTTCCTCATTTCATCTTTCCGCCATGGACCCGCCAACTTCCGAAGCAGCACCGGGTTCCGGGTCTCCAGCCACCGCAAATGGAAATGCCACTGCAGCCAAGCCGCGTGCGACCAGGGGGAAGTACATCTCCAAAGCATGGTAAGACCCCCCTTGACAGTGGTACCACATTACAGTGGCCCTTCTGGCATATTGTGGCTGACTGTTATGGTGATGCTGCAGCTTTGAATGTAGAAAGAGAAAGAGCAAGTGCAATGGGAGAAGCCCTTGTCTACGTTGTGCACGTCAATCATTGACCTGTAAGACCGCATTCTCATACTCTTCAAAATATGCTTTGATAGATGCTAATTGAACACCAAAGGTGCTTATCCCGCTTCCAAGAAGCAGAGGGAAATCCCAGCAAGTGGGACGTGAGTTCAGCCCCATCCGGTCTGCTCGGATGATTCCTGTCTAACTCGAAGATTGCAGCGATGGTGATACTCAAGCCATTCGGTCTTTGAAGGAGCAAGTTGCCTCACTCCAGGGCGATCTTGAACTGCTCCGTCAACAGTCTCCCCACCGACGGTCAAGCTCACAGACACAGTCGTCGCCCCAGTTCGATGAGACTCTCAATGCCTCTCGTGCTCGCTTGATCTCACCAGATTACACCGACCCAGGCAGTAATCCTGCAAGGCCAGATCAAGCCTTGCCCACGACTGAGCCCCCTGAAACCCAGGACAACTGCCAGCCGTCAGCAAGCTACACGTTCAATATCAGTCTGGCCCGGACACATCTTCGTGCGCAGGGCATCGCCATGACTGATAGTGATAAGCAGGGTGCCTCATCATCTGCAGATCGCACTCGACCGCCTTCCCCTTCCATCCACACACCCCTGGAATTTGGTGTCGGGTCCGTCGACCCTTTATGGCTGATTGATGAGAAAGAAGCCATCAGGCTCTGCAATCTCTACGAGGTCGAGATAGGCATCCAGTATCCTTTCCTTGACATCACTCGCATCATTGAGAATGTGCGCGTCCTTTACAGGGCCATGGCCAGTGGTTCGCAGAATGGCTTCGCGTTCACAGCTATGCCGGGTCCCACCGTCATTGATCCCTTAGATCTGGATCTACTCAAGATGGTCATTTCGGCGGGATCAATCGTTGAAGCAGGAGGATCCAGCCAGCTTGGAAAAGCCCTCTTTACTGGAGTGAGGAAGTCATCACACGACAAGTTGTGGGAACCAGCGAGCGTCAAGAACACGATGCTTTTCGTACTACTGGTCAGTCAAGCATCATATGCAGAATCGTATACTTATGCTAACGCGTTTATAGGCTATTTACAGCTTCCTCACTGGAGATGACCTTCAGGCTTGGAGGCTAGTCGGCGTTTCCGCTCGCTGGTGTTTAGAGATCGGCCTTCACCAAGCAGGCACAGTCAACAGGATCTTCAAGGAGGTGGAGGCGCGCAAGGTAGCGCTGAGACTCTTCTGGTGTGTCTACACGCTAGACCGTCGATGGGGCTTCGGTGCTGGCCTGCCATTCGTCATGCATCATTGCGATGTCGATAGAAACCTGCCAGAGCCGGTAAGTTCCCCATAGAGACTGACACATGGAAAGATGAAAGCTGACTCTTCAAGGATGATGACGTTCCATACCTCAAAGCCATGGTGGCCTATAGCCAGATAGGCAACAAAGTCTGGTCCACATCATACAACTCTGCCCGTATTACAGGGGCAGTGAGGGATGACGAGATATCCTATCTGCTGTACCTGATTGGCCAGTGGTATGAGGAGCTCCCAGAGAGTCTAAAGCTTAGCCCAGAATGGGAATCAAATGACTGGACAGGGTCAACAAGAGGCCCTCAACGACTTCAGCTTTTGTTACATCTGCGAGCGAACCAGATGAAGATCCTCCTCCTGCAGCCAATCTTGCACTCCCCGTCGAGCCTCAAGATCAACAAATCCAAAGTCCAATCGCTCATCAGATTCGCCAAGGACACCATTCAGAAACTGAACTCGTTGAACAAATCCACGGACATCTACCAGACGCAACAAATGTGCTTCAATCACTTCTTGGTGTCTGCTCTTGGTGTCATCTTCTTGGTCGTGGCACTCGCTCCTTCAGAGTACGGCGCCGCAGTCCGCGACGAGTTCCACATCGCGCTCGATCTCATTCGCGGTCTCAGCGCCAAGTCCTACGTATCAAGTAGACTGTGGAAGATGGTCAGTGATCTTCGGCTTGCGTGGAGGAAACTGGGCTTGAATCCTCCCCACACAAACGAGGACAGGGAGACGCGTGCCATGCGCAGCGCAGTTGCAACTCCTCCGCCCTCTTCAAGCGGCGTCGATATCTCGCCTCACAACACAACGCATCTCGACGAGGAGGATTCAAGAGTGGGAGAGTCTGAGGTCTGGCAAACTGGGGCAAGGGAGCCCATCAGCGACGTGCAGATGGCACAGGAGCTGAGCGATTTCTTCAACGCGATGGATAGTGCGCCAGACTTTACGAGCTCATATCCATTACTCGGCATTTGTGGCGATGCGCTTGAGTCCGCGGAGGGACATCCTGATGACAGTCTACCAGAGAATGCTCTGGACTCGTCAATGCTGGACGTGTCTCATTTGTTTGTAGATATGTTATAAGATGCAATAAGAATTTTGTCGCTTGGCCAAGTCAGTGCGGCACGATTACGAGGTTTCTTTGAGATCAGCAGTGTTGAATTACTCGCGAGCCAACGCATCTAACAGTCACTGATTCCGGAGGCCATTGACGACAAATTTTCCTCTTCAAACTCCAAATCCTACCTACGCTAGTCTAAGCAATGAAAGAAACTAAGTTTGCTGTCAGCAGCCCAGTCCACCATGACCTGTATTTGCTGAATGATGATTCGGTGATCACATTCTGAACATCTCATCCCCAAGAAGCCTACAACTTGGTTGAGCGACCACTCAGCTCGTCAGTACTGGATGCCAACCGCTTCCTGACAGGTTGTTCTACCGCTTCGTCCGTACCCTTCGTCTTTCCATCCACCAATGTCATAGTACTTGATGCCAAGGACACCTTTCCATAGCAAGCTCTCGAAGACTTTCCGGAATGCGGAGGATCTAGCGATTGTACCGCTTTTGCCGAAATCGATTCACCGTCTGTCTTGTGCGATTCTGGGTGAATGAGTGCGTAGAGGATATCCCCGGCGCCCTCCAAAGGCTTGAAGTGAAAAGCGTCAGAAAACAAGTACCCATCGATGGTCGGTCTATCGAAAGTCAGCAATGGGTTTCAACTGCCCAAATTTTGCACATACTGATTGAAACCAGCGGGGTATTCTGGTTGCCATTCAAATGATACCGACATTACGACTCGCAAAGACTAGCATTGTCAAAGATTTGATCAAACAGCCGCCGATGTTGTATGTCGTCGACCGTTCCGCATCGTTGAGCAGCGGTGTCCCATCTGTAATGCTGGACGGAATCAAACGTGTCGTGGGATATTGAGTGAAGTCCAGCAACAAAGTCGGCCTGCAAGTCGTCAGCGTACCCTCGGCGTTAAAGGGACAGGACACAAACAAGATAGTCTCCAGCGGTATGTTTTTCCTCCTTTTTTGGGTGTTTGATGACGGATTCCTTTGGGCGCCGGCAATGTTTGATTGCGTCTGCCACAATGCAAAGCGCATATGATACAGAGAGGGGATTGCTTTCTGCAAGCTCCACAGTACCTGAACACTCCACTACCTTCTTCAGGAGGCGATGAAGCAGCTCAGCGACATGATAGGACAATGTGTACATGAACTCCAAGAACAGTACCTGGTAGACTGCAGGGTGATCATGCCCTAACGACGTTAAGGTGGTCAATCTGTCTACGAACAATTGATGGCGATTCCAATTGTACAAAGCGTTGATGAAGAATGCGCATTTCCAGGCGTCAGTGGCAACTTCTTGCTACTCTCATGTTAGTTAGCCAATCAACAATTTGAATACGTCAATGGATAACTTACATCCACATCTGGAAGTTGTTGTATCAGATTTTCCGGTGCCCTCTCAAAAGCGAATTGGCTCATCTCCTGATAGTCAAGAAAAGGAGGGCTGTTGCTGGAGCTATGTCTGGCGGAGGGCGGCACGCCAATGGCAGGTCGAACAACGATGGTTTTGGCAGATTTCGAGTACTTCATTCGAGAGAAATGACCGCATTCATCGTCAAGATGGCACAATAAGCTCCACTTCCCTCGAAAAAGATCGTTGATCATGGGTACACCTTTCGGAGGATGCTCGCTGTTTACATGCTGGCGAAGCTTGTTCAACAAATCGTAGGTTTTGTCTATTTGACGTATGTTAGCGTCTATTATTTTTGCATTCCTCGAGATCTTGAGGGTCTTCATACCGATCTGAGTTCTGAGAAACTGAGGAATGGGAGTTCCGTTATGCATGATGCTCTTAACGCTCGGGCGTTTGCTCTTCTTTTTGCAGGTTTTCTCACACGTGCTGCAACGAACGCCGGGTTTGCCGTCACACTATCAAGTGTTAACGATTGACGGATCCGTAAGTTTCAGCAAGTTCTCATTCGTGTCTTACCGGCTTTTTGCGAATATGGCATTCATAGCATCGGTAAGTTGTCCTTGTCTTCTCGGGTAGGCAAGTCTAGCGAAACGTCAGTCTTTGAAATAATCATCGGACATAGCATGCTCTTACCGAGGGAATATCTATTGGGGCTATGTTTGGGATCAAAGCAGCAGGTGCCGTGGCAAGATTTGTCGAAGAGTGACTGGAGGTCTCATGGGCATTCTCCGCGTGGACCTCCTGTGGTGTGAAACCCACGTTGTCTTGTCTGTTTACGACAAACAGTTGTGTATATATCTGTTCTGATTGAGCACTTATGCCTTCTGTGGTTGAATCTTGCCAGGTTGACATGTCTGGACCAGAGGGTAGGTCCATATACCTATCCCAGTCGATCAAACCCAAGTCATCAGCCACACCGTTGAATCCTGCGCTGGGCAGTTCTTCGTCGAACATTGCTCCTTGGACTGAGAATTGTGTTATCTGCTTGGAAGGTAAGTAAGCATCGGTTTTTTCATTTTTCCAACGCGAAAGCTTACGTTGTTCGCTAACAGGCCGTTGAAGACCTCCATCTCCTGTCCGATGAGATTATACCGGTAATCCTCCATCATCTCTTCGATGAGACCTTTGGTGATGATGTCAAAGCTGTGCGAGCCCGCTACGTAGTTTCCATAAGTAAGTATGGCATGTCCCATTGAACATTGAACCAAGTAATAGGCCTGGACTTACCTTCTCCAGCTTCTGGCTCAATCCCAATCGTTTTCGCGTTCCATTGTATGCTCTCTAAATTGCAGATGCTCTCTATCGGCGCCAGATCAAGGTCGCAAGTACCCGAGTCTTCGTTTGTTGGGTCGTGATCGAGGAGGGGCCATTCTGCATCGAAGCATAGCTGCAGTCCTGCGTCTTCCGCAATGTGCGGGCTGAAGAAAGAATCCATGGTCTTCTGGTTGATGGGCTCAGGAGAGCATGATGTAGCGTAGGACCAGGATTCAGACGACGGAAGAGTGAAAGGTTTTATGTTCATCTTGAGAAGATACGTTGTTTGAGATGTAGGCTGTGGCTCAGCTGGGTACATGTCATTCGCACCGTTCCGCGGGTTACACAACGCCTCGCTTCGAAAATTGGACCAATAAATGGTGTGTACATGGAGCGACTTATGGAAGTGCACATCCCATTATTTCGGCTCAGGACCTCATTCGACGATTTTTGTCGGCCCCATACTTCACTGGAGTGGGGTTTTGTCGGACTGCAAGTTGATTTGCCTACGAGCCTTGCTTGCTTTTTCGGACTCGACACTCTTTCGACCGGGACGATGTAAGATCCCAGTCGTTTGACCTCATGAGACATACGATACCTCCAAGCCACCGCCCTCTCCGCCGCACACCTCGGTGTATGTCGGTGAGCTGAGGACTTTTAACACAATCAGCTGAAGAGGGCCTGAGCCCCTGACCCCCTCTTCCCTCGAGCTGCCCTCACAGCCAGTAGAGCCCCTAGAAGATCCTATGCAACACGCGCAGCTGTAGGGGGCCTCATAGCTAGAGGGCCACTGGGCTAGAAGGAATTCTTTTCGCTCACCCGTGACACAGGTGCACCGATAGTTACCGCGAGTTGGTGGGTTTCGCATTGGGGGTGTCGTAAGATAGGCCCTTATTTCATGGGCGTTCTCCAAGCATTGACGGCGTCTAGCCACCTCTCGCTCATTTCGGTAATGACACAGTATTCGCAAGCCTCTGAGTAGTGATAAGCGTATTGGAACAACAGCAGATAATTCAATGCAACCAAACATAGTACTACGCAAACTTGGGATTTCCATGTGCTGCCAGTGTCGTAAGTGGCATTAGGCCATGACAAACGGACGATTATTCATGAATGAGCCTTCACTTCGGGGAGTAAAGGACCAAAGTCGGAATGGTATCTTGGGTGCCTAGATTCATGAGCCGGTTTCCCTTCTCACATGTTGACTTGAATGTGATATCGGCATTCTATGGCTACGGTCGTGTCCTACGGGAGAAGAGGCACTGGAAATGAAAGCCGCGGTTGGCCCATCTGTAAGATGAATGTCTAGAACTAGGCACGTTGAACCAGCGCGTGAGATAGTCACATGAGTGAACCAGAACCCAGATTCGCTTTGGATTGGATGGTTCGTTTCGAGATGCTATGGCAAAACACGAAGTTGACTACTTGGAATTTCCTGCAACAAAATTGCAAAGAGAATAGACTATCACCGCTCCTTGTGACTGGTTCATACTATTCCTTGTAGTCTTAATTCCTGAAAGTTCCATTCTCTGATGCACCAATTGCGATCGAATCGTTACTTTAGTTGCGGTTCCGCGTGATCACTCCGTAAACATTCGCTGTGCCGGAATTGAGGAGGGGCGGAAGCGGAATCTGGAATTCCGCCACACGCTCACCACGCTACGGTCCGGGAGGGATGTCACACAAACTTCGAGATTTCCCTGGACCGGTGGGAGTGAATGAACCTTCCGCCCAATGAAACATTGTATATTATAAATTTCCCCGGGTCGGCCGGTGGTAATAAGTTGGCATTCTTCTGAACATCCAACCTCCTTAAGACGATCTCATCTCAGCACCAACTCGTCGACCACTCGTCATCACCGCAAGTGCTACGACCATGGCCATCGCGGACCTACTTCAGATCCTCGCCCGAGAGGCGACAGACAGACCCATCGAGTTCATGGCAAAAGGCCTGAGCTTGGTGTTTTTGGTATATGTTATTGCGAACGAGTTCATCCGCTCCAAGGCGCGGTTATCCAACTTTGACGGACCAAAAGGCTTTCCCCTCATTGGGAACCTGTGGCAGGTCAGACATGACGCTGCGGAGAAGTACAGGGAGTGGGCAAAGGAGTTTGGTTCGGTGTTCCAGGTGCAGCTTGGCAACATTCCCGTTTTGGTCATCAACAGCGCCGCTGCGGCGAAGGTGATTCTCGGTCACAACTCACAAGCAATTGCGTCACGCCCAGAGCTCTACACTTTCCACAAGGTATTTCATCTCATACCCATAATCAAGCGCGCCCCCATGCTTACACTGTGAAAGATCGTGGCCAACACCGCTGGCACGACCATTGGCACTTCACCATACAATGAGTCCCTCAAGCGCCGCAGAAAGGGCGCCGCTTCAGCCCTCAACCTGCCCGCCATCAAGACGTACATCCCCCACCTGGACCTCGAGACCAAGGAGTTCCTCAAGGACGCCCTCAACTACGGCAAGGCGGGCAAGCTGCCCGTGAACCCCATGCCCCTGGTCCAGCGCCTCAGCCTGTCTCTGGCCGTCACCCTCAACTGGGGCTTCCGCTTCCCCAGCCACGAGGACCCCCTGTTCAAGGAAATCATCGACGTCGAGGTCAACATCAGCCGCTTCCGCAGCGTCACCGACAACCTCCAGGACTACATCCCCCTCATGCGCTGGAACCCCTTCTCGGCCGGCACCCGCGCCGCGCTCGGCATGCGCGGCCGCCGCGACATCTACCTGTCTAAGCTCAACAACGACCTCAAGGAGAAGGTCGCCAACGGCACCTACGAGCCCTGCATCCAGGCGAACGTCATGCTCGACGAGGAGGCGAAGCTGAACGACGTCGAGCTGGTGTCGATCAGCTTGACCATGCTGTCGGCTGGGTTTGAGACGTTCTCGACGGTCACGACGTGGGCGATTGGCTTCCTGGCGCAGCACCCCGAGATCCAGCAGAAGGCCTTTGACGCGATTAAGAAGGTTTACGACGTGAACAACCCGCTTTGCGACGCCAACGACGACCAGAGTATTCCCTACATCAGAGCACTGGTCCGTGAGAGTTTGAGGTGAGTCCTGCTTTCCCCTGAGCTGAGATGAAGTTCTGAGTCTGACCCCTCACAGATATTTCACCGTCCTCCGCCTCTCTCTTCCCCGCGCGACGAACAAAGACTTCGTCTTTGAGGGCAAAGTGATCCCCAAGGGCACTGTTGTGTTCCTCAACTCCTGGGCTTGCAACATGGGTAAGCTTCCTCCTCCTCATCTTGCTCATTTCAACTCCAGAATCTAACATAATTGTAGATACCGAGGTCTGGGATGACCCCGAGGTTTTCCGCCCCGAGCGCTGGCTGGAGAACCCCGAAGCCCCGATGTTCACCTACGGCATGGGCTACCGCATGTGCGCGGGCACTCTGCTTGCCAACCGCGAGCTGTACCTTACCTTCATGCGCATGCTGGCCAGCTTCAAGATCTCCACGACCGAGGTCATCGACTCGAGCCCTCTCACCGGCGTCGACGACAAGAGGAACTTGGTGCTTGCGCCCAAGCCTTACACTGTGTCCTTCACCCCTCGCAACGAGGCGGCTCTCCGAAAGGCCCTTGAGATTTGATCTAGGTCATTGCGTGTGGATTCTTGTTCAGATTCTTGGTGATGTATTTGGGCACTGGCGGGGGGCTTTGGGGTAGCTGAGATCATTGGCATTTTTCATGTTTGTACGCGATCAAGAATGGGTTCTTCAGGCATTTTCACAAAACGGCTGCATTCGACGTCGGAAGGCAGCGTCCAAATAGGATGGATGGATGACAAAAGATATCAAAAATGAACATTTCCCTTTCCAATATGAGTCAAAAATGTTCCGAAACCGAGAATCGAACTCGGGGCTATGCCTAACCTCTCACAAGATGAGAGGGCATCATGTTGGCCACTACACCATATCGGATTGGTTCATGTGGATCACGAGCACTGAGATGCTGTTCAATGGTCGGCGACGGCTGTTAGGAGTCAGACAGGGTTGGCAAGGAGACTTTCAACCTGCTATGGTGGGTCTAGCCGTCGAGCGAAACTCATAGCTCAAGTCTTGAAAGGTTCTTGTGTTCTTTGTCGGCTTCGCAAGGTTATTGTTATTACCGCAGCAGTAGAAGACGCCTTCTTGATTGGCAAGACAGACCTTCAGCCTGTGTTCGGCGGTGATTCTGTTGGTCTAGCGGCCATCTGGAGTACGTTTAATCAGCGCAGTTGAAAAAAGCGAGTCTGTATTAGTATGTCTTAAGCCCAATTGCTCCTACGGAACTTGCGTTCCCAACGCACGATTTCCCTACCATCAACTAGTTCATTCTATCACAAGTAAGTCGGTCCAACCAAGGTGTTGGCTGAATCAAAAGGCCTTCATGCGTCTCAGCCTCAAGACATACGGGCAAACGTGGTCTACAGGGTACGACCTAGCCTCAGAAAGCCTCGCCTTGTCGTCCAATGACACTGGCCCATCATCCTCACGAAGGTGTAGTGTAGATGTTGAGACGCAACGGTTGCGAAGGTTTGGGGCTTCCTGGGCGGGGTTGGGCGATTCAGGGTGAAGCCATGGAGAGAGCGTTCGAGAAGATGCGGGCTTTTGACGGCATTGGGTATTCTTTGCTACCTTCCTGACAACTCATCATCGCATGGCGTGACTCTGAAGAAGGTTCATCCTTGGTCCAGAAGAGGTTGAGAGGGTGAGGACGAAACCGCAGCCAACGGGCTCCCGAACAATGGCCCAAGCACCAGCCCCCCATGCACACCGGTGCCAGCCGTCAGCGGCCGTGCCATCCGGCACCCGTTATCGCTGCCGCAGCTCCGATAAGGAACGACGAGTTAAACCACTTCCGTCATCCTCGCTCCCGCGGTCGCGCTCCTTCAAAGCTCCCCAAGGCTGTCACCATCCCGAGCTACGCCAGCAAGCATGACGAACACACGTACGGCATGACTGACCCTAACTACACAGTCTTCGTTCGGCTGCCCATCCTCCGGGGCGAGTTCACGGATCCCCCTCCGGTAGGTTTCCCCCGTCGACGCCGTCCCCCCCGATGGCTCTTCGTCGCGGGGCTGAGATGCTGATGCGATGCCACCTGCGCAGGTCACCTGGGATTCCACAAAGGACGATGTGCTATGGAACATCCTCTCCGGCGCAGCCAAGACGGAAATTGACTGTAGGTCTCGACAGCTCCCTTCTATTGGCATTGCTGACCCTTCTTGATCCAGGGAACGAACTGTAAGTCTCTCGCCGAACGTGGACTCCCCCCATAGAAGCTCACCCGTCTCCCAGAGCTGCCCATTTCGACGTGACCGTCGACTTCCTCCTCCAGCAAGTAGCCTACCTGACCGAACGACACACCGCCCAACTCCGCGCCCAGGTCCGCAAGGCAACAGCCGCCGCCAAAGGCTCCGCGGCACCTTCCCCGATCCCCGGCGCCGAACCGCACTCCCACCAACGCACGATATCAGCCCTCTCCATCCGCCGCGACTCCCCCCTCCCCCGAAACGATGCCAGCAACCCCGCGACCCCGATAACCACCTCCCTCCGCCCGAACCTCTCCCGCAACGGCTCAGCCGGCACCATAACCCGCAACCTCGGCGGCGAAGGCACATCGACCACCCGCCCGGGAGCCACCACCAAGCCGTCCACCACCTCGCGGCCATTCAACGACGGCCAGCAGCAGCAGCGCCGCCGCCTCTCCTCCCTGCCGATCCAGAGCACGCCCCGCAGCCCGGAGCCCGCCTCGCCCCCAGACGAGTCCAGCTCCCCGGCCTCCTCGGATGACGAGTCCAGCCCCGCGCAGTCGCGCATCATCCGCCGTCCGCCCCGCTTCCAGCAGCAGCGCGACGGCGGCGTCAACCTCGACGACGAGGACGACGACGACGCCGAGCCCGCGTTCCTGCAGTACAAGCCGCAGTCCGCCTCCAACGCCTCCTCGGCGCAGGACATGGGCTCCACGCTGCGCGGCGACCCCCGGAACGCCCGGCGGACCCCGAAGGGCAAGGAGAGGATCCACCACTCCGAGACGTCGGACTCGTCGACCAGCTCGCCGGCGCTCATCTCGCGCAGCTCCGCGACCAGCGATCATCGTCGTACGGCTGCTAGCGGCGGCGGTGGCCCTCTGTCCCCGCGCCGCGCCGCTGAGTTGTCTGGGAAGAGTCCTAGCTCGAAGGGCAAGGGATACTCCCGGGACGGGAGCGACGGCACGCCTAGCATGGGTAGCAGTTTCAGCGACTTGGACGGTATGTTTTCTCCCCGCGCGCGCGATGAAATTCTTGGGATTTCTTAGCTGACGGTGTGTGCAGACGCATCAGTGACGCAGTCCGCTTTGGAGGAGGCCCTCGCGAGTAAGATGCAAGACGGCGCCATAGGAAGCAGGTTCAGCATCAGCCAAGCGTTCAGGAGTCGCTACATGCCCAAGCCTGGCCAGCAATAGCAGCATTACGAAGGACAACGTTATTTCCTCTTTTTCTTTCCTGGTAGATCATGGGACGAATGGGTTGGGTAGCATCCGCGGCGTTTAGGTAAGATCACGAAGCGGTTCAGAATGTCTATTTACTTTGGTTTCTCTCGTGATGCAGTGTGGGCTTAGGGAATGACGACAATAAACCTTCCCGGGACTAAGTGTCCTCCTATATTTCAGTACGAGCACAATTAGCTTTTCACCAGGTTCCATGCGAATCATTCCGCCGGGGCATGTACATCTCCTTCACTGCAGGATTTCTCGAATGCATTTGAGGATATTGAGTATCATTTCACCCCAGTGAGCAGGAAATTTGGTGTAACAAGTTAACGCCAGCTATGTGCAAGAGGTGCTGATACCAGAGACAAATCGCAAATGCTCCCCCAAACCAGGCCCAAGTAAGATTCTCCGCAACGTCATGTTCAAGCCAGCACCGGCTGTCCCTTCACATTCTGCGTCCACATTCGATGCAGTGGCTTTTGGTTCTGCACTTTCTGCACTTCTTGCAATGACAAAGTTCTAGGCCTTGCCACGCATCTCGTATGCCTCTCCCCTCTCAACTGCGTGATCGTCAGTATGTGGCACGGCCTGATTCGAGGTTGACTTACGGTCACCCTCATACTCCCTTCCCGAGCCAAAGTCATTCCATGCTCTCTTTTTCCTCGTGGGAGGCGGTATCTCGAGGTCCGCGAGTTCTGCCTCTCGAGACGATCCGCCGTCGCTTTTGGCCTGGCCTGTGTCGGGGTGGTCGTTCCTGTATGGTGGCTGTGCGTTGTTGGAACGACGCTTCTTGGCCTTTCGGTTGCGGTAATAGAAGAGAGAGCCGATGGCGGCGAAGAAGACGGTGATGGTGCCGATGATGACTCCAACCTCGACAGGAGTCAGGGCTCGCGGAGGAGGCGCGGGCTGCTCGCCAGGACGGGAGTCTCCTTGGAAGAAAGACATGACGGGGCTTGTTGACGAGAGTCTGTTGTTACATTCGATGGAGATATCGAGTCAAGCTTTCGTGGCTTCGGGCGCTTCAGATCATTCGTGAAAACGATGATGCCCGGTCGAAGCAAGGTCGACGATGGTCAAGAGCGCGGCTATGCGAACAGGAGAGAACCAGAGTGTCGGGACTGGGGGAGATGAAATACGAAAGAGCGGTGGCCATTCGAGGCAAGCAATCAAGCAAGGACGCAAGGAAGCAATCAGGTCAGCAAGCAGCAAGACGGTGCCAAGGGAGAGAAGGAGAGCCCGAGCTACGGAAACCATGCATTCAACGTGGAAGATCAGGAAGCAGCCGACGGTGATGGTGTCTCTTGTCTCCACAAAGATGCCGTGCGGGAAGCCGTGCTTCCTTCTTCTTGGGACAACCTGAAGCTCTTGCAGTTCTGGTGTCTGTTAAACCTTCCCACCTTGGCCTGCACCATGCGGGTAGCCGCGATGGCCCGTCGCCCTCTTTCCTGGCAGACGCGCCTGCCCTGCCCTGCCCTTCCGGCCTGGCTGTCTTTTGCCTGCCTTCCCGATGAGAGACACGCCTAGCAAGCGAGATGGGGAAGGGCCCAGCCTCGAAGAGGAAGGTCTGCTTCCCAAGGCGGTCATCGAGAGACATGCATCGTCTTCTTCCCTAGACCCGAAGCTTCAATCCCGCTCACGAATCTTTTCAATCGGCAACTGCGCTGGTCCTCGAGCTCGAGTGTCCATCTGCAAATACGACTCTCAATTTGTCCCCGACTGAGGTATCTGAGCACTGTGCTCAACTCGAAACTGCTCACAAACACAATCACCGACCAACATACGAGTCAACCAAACGGAAAGCAAACACTGCAAAAGCATCTTCTCAGCACCCGGTGACTAATACAATGGGGCCAGGCAATAACAAAATGAAGATCGTTTCACTCGTCGAAACGGCTAGCGGCCATATTTCTTTTTTCCAGACCACGCAATCTCAGACTGATTGCCCAACGGAAGACGAGGTCTGGACGTTGTCGAGTCGGCTACACGCATCGGAAACCCAGTGCCACCGACCGGCTGGACTCTGCCCTCCCACCGAAACCTCCATCCGTTTGTCGTCTCTCCCAGCTCGATTTTTGTCGCGCAATGGCACACAATTGGCTACCTAGCCTTGCACGAGCCAGCCGTTCCCCGTCCGCGTCAGACCTCAACCTTCCCGTCATTCATGAAAGACCACTTCACGGCAGCGACGATGAAGTTATGGCGGTCGGGTTCAGTCTCGAACGATTGTCTTGGCTGGGGGCCGAGACACAACACAGATTGATCTTAGCAACCATGGATTCCAGGGACGGTCCCTTGGCTTTGGAACGACATGCTCTCGCTTCCAGAAGACATCAATATGGGATTGTTCCACCTGACTCCGATCCATGAGATGAGCGCGAAGATCCCGCATGTCACCGACCAACCATGTGCGAGCTGTCTGGGGTGGTGCCGCATCACGAATCGACGGCTGCATGCCGAGATGGGACGCACATATGCTGCTTGCATACCATTGTGTAACGTCAGTCCCGTCGAGGTTCTGTTACTGCAAGCCTCGCACGCGGGAAGCAAGCCACTGAAGAAGTTCGACTTGGGTCTAACAGCCTGTCTGTCCCAGGACCAGGCAGCCCACTACACTTATGCGAAGAAGGCGCAGCCAGCCGCTGCCATCATGCCATCTCGATCGGGGAGCGATCCGCCATTCATCATGCCGAGTGTGGGGTCAAACGCCGTATCTATCATTATAACGTGTTCAAAGATCTACAAAGCTTGCTTCACGCGGGTGTGAAGCTTAGGAGAACATCGTGCGGCAGCTTGGTCGTGATGCCCACGGTTTGAGCCAACCGCCTCTCATCCCTCGGCTCAATCGTCTTGAACGTCTGCAAGACTCTCACAACAAAGTATGCCATCTGCGTCAGAGCGAATTGCTGGCCAATACAAATTCTTGGACCACCAGAAAAGGGCAGGTAATCCCAACTGCACGCGCGTCAGCACTCAATTCTCGAGACAGCGAATGGATCATCGACGATAAGAAGGGACGTAACTCACCCCGGGCGACGATCCTCCCAACGCTCAGGGCGAAACTCGTCGGCATCCTCACCCCAGATATCCTTTCTCCGATGGGTGATGTACATGGACCAACGTACGAGTGTCCCCTTCGGAACGAACACGGGGGATTTGCCGTCGGGCCCACCGCCAACTGGGAGGGTGGTATCTCGTGCTGCGCCGCGCGACATGGTCGCAACTGTCGGGTACAGCCGCAGAACTTTGGTCGTCGTCGTCAGCTTCTTGAACGTCCATTCAACCTTGGCATCACTCACTCTCCTTCAACACCATGTTGAGGTACTTCATATCCTTCATCTCCTCCCACGTCGGCTGACGCTCACCGAGCTCCAGTTTGATCTCGTCTCTCAAGCGGGCTACCACCTCGGGTCTTCGTGCCAAGATCCAGAAGAGCGCGGAGAGCGTCGATGCCGTGGTGTCGCGACCCGCGAGAATCATGGAAAGCAGCTGCCCGCGGACGAACTCCGGGGTAGTACCTTGGTCCATCATTTGGTGCAGAAACACGTAAGCTCTTTCGGGGTCCTTCTCTTCGGCTTTCACACGCTTGATGTAGTTGTCACAATAGTTGTCGATGATCTTCAGCCCCTCATCCCACTTATTGTCCCGATCCAGGAAGGTGAACAGCCCCAAGCGGGAGCGGATGGCTGAACGGGTGAGGATGTATTCGAAAGTGGCCGTGAACTCGGATGCCTCAGCCGATGGTGTCGTGAGCATAGACGTAGACTGGCCAAACCTGTTCTCGCATCAGTCTTGCTATCCACAGACTTCCCTCAAGCAACTCACATAAAATCCGTCGCCGAGTCCATGGTCATCATGTACAAAAGCCCCTGCAAATCCACCGTCTGCCCATCCTTCGGAATCCTCTTGATCAGATTCCCAACATGCCTCTCAAAGCACGCCAAATCAGCAATCTGGTTCCTCACAAACGTAGGCCTCATCATCGCGCGCGCGTCGTGCCACGCCTGCCCATTCGCCGCAAAGATGGCCTCCTCCCCCAGAATCGGCGCGATCACGTCCCGCCGCGGGCCCATGATCGGCCAGTCCTGGAACCCCGACGCCAGGATCGTCTTGAGGTTCTCCGGCTCCGTCGTCATCAGCACCCACGTCACGGGCGTCTTGACCCACCACGTCCACCCCAGCCGGTCGAACACCGTCTCCCACCACTCCAGCAACCCGTGCTCCTCCTGCTTGGCCATCGACGCGCGCACCCAGTCGCTGCCAAAGATCGGGTCCGTGTGCGGGAAGCTCGGCGCCTCGGCGCACCCGCGCGCCTTCATCTTGAGGAGGTAGCTCGCTTTCCGGTAGAGCACCAGCGTCGGGAGGGCGAAGAGCGCCGCGAGGAAGGGGGATGCGAGCGCGTGGGAGGGTGAGAGGTGCGGTCTACCGCTGTGGGCGAGGTATGTCTCGGCGGCGGTCCAGAGCACGTATGTCCCCAGGACGGCCGACGAAGCCAGGTAGAGGTACTCTCGCGCCATGTTGAAGTCGTTTCGCTAATACCGACGTGAGCTCGCTGGTTCACGAGATGTGCCGAAGCAGTCTTTTATATCTTCGCGCGCCTGCTTCACTTACCCCTCAACGGACCTTCTCCAGCTCTTTTGAATCGCCGTCAGTGTTGCGCTGACGTTCCTAAACGTCCGTGCCGGGGTGTCCGATGGGAATAGGATATATCATCAGACGACAAAGGCTAAGGGGTACGAAAAAGGCGGCTGGGGGGGAGGAAAGGCTAACTAGTTTCCCTCAAGTTTTTAAAAAGCCTAAAGGAACGTTCCCAGCCTTTGGAAATACGACGTCTCCCTCGGCATCATGTAGTAATCAGAAAAAAAGAACACGGAGCCTTCACCTGTTATATCCACACCGGCGGAGCTGGGGAGCCATCTGCCGAGGCGAGGGGACGGGGACCATGAGAAGGAGGGGCGGAGAGGAGTGATGTAACATGCCCATCCCTGGAGCTCGCGCTATTCCACCCTACCCTCCCCTCCCTCGACATCCAGCGCAGCGCAGCGATCAGATGCGCGCTGTTTGCTGGATTTTCTTGTGCCACAACACCCCGACTTTCCTTTCTCGCGAACATGTGGTTTGCTGGTCAAAGGCACACCACACCGCATCATCTCTAGTCTGTGGAGTTCCGCCCGGCCCCCCGACCAAACGACCCCTTGTTCTTCCCCCACACAAACATCGTCAGTCTGGGCGCGATCAGCTCCAAGCCTCCGCCCCAATAAACGGTCGCACAGGGCTGATTACGATCGCGCCCGCGCCAATTGGACCTGGGATTAGTTTCCCCCCCCCCCCCCAGCCCTGGGCGGGAATATTCCCGAGCGAGGCAAGTCTGCCTCATTCAGGAAGACAATAAAAAAGTAGGGCCAAGCCTAGATCGGAAGACCGGCGATGGTGGCGTGAAGTAGCTTCTGGCTATGCCGTAGTAGTCTGGACTGGGGTAGGAAGAGCAAACAGCAGTGAGGCAAACAGTAACCTCACCCCAACAACTTCTTCGCATTCGCTATTTTGCATTTCTCCCGCTCCGGCGCATGTGCGAATAGCGCTTTAATCAACAACTTTACGCAGCCAAGAAATACCGTAATGCACCGCTGTCATCGAACCCACAAACTCACTCAACATAACGCGTGAATGCTGGTGTTGGCGTACTTCCTTGGATGCGGATTGGGCCAGCGAGAGCAGTTCTCCAGGGAACCGTCGCCGAGACCCCGTTCGTACGTCGAACCCGTCGGGACGGCTGGAAAGTTTGTTCGATGAAAGTAACCCACTCACCCACCTTTGATATCGACGCCAATCCCCTGGTACGAACGGGCTACTCCGCCCCCTTTTCAGATGTTAAATGTCAATATCAACGCCCAAGTTTTATCTGACCATGGGTCTGCGACTTTTGTGCGTGATGTCACAGCTAGTTCCCGGCGGGGCTGGTCCGAGAAACGACATCCTCGACCTCCCCCGGCAGATTGGCTGGTCTCGACGATAACCCGGCGGCCGCTCGCCGTCCGTCGCCGTTGTTCGGTTTCGGCGGACGGGGGCGTAATCTGCCCCGGCCCCCGGTCTGCGGCCTGGATTGGGGGCCGGAAGCTCTCGGCGGTGGTCTTGGCGGGATCATACCCGCCATCCAGGCACCCATCGCGTCCGGCGAACATCAGTAATCACCTCCGTGCAGCACAGCGGCCAAGTTGCATCTCTCACGAGAGTTTCGCTGGGCACTCGCCAAGAATATCCTGCTTTGATATCTCACTTGAACTCCAAGATTCCTCGGCGAGAACCCCTGTGTATTGAAACAGTAGGCTGTGCAATCTACTTGGAGACCTCATCCGTCAGAAAGCCTTTTTCCCAATCATCTAAGCCGGAAAGACCAGCCAATAAGACAGCCAAATTTCATTCCGTTCATCTCATACTAAGCGTGGACTCTTCAGAGACCCTCCGTCCAGCCTACTGGTAGATTCTCACGTCAGATCGTAGCTAGCACGCACCCTCACTCTTCTTGCGTTTGGATAAGGGGGTCATAAGGATCAGTAATCTACTCCGGCGGGTGGGATTTGTCCATGTCGGCCCGAGGATCAAGAAGTGAAATCATCATAATGATAATCGAGCGTCTCATATCGAGCGCTTAGCCCCGAGAAGAGTCATGACCACGACATTTAACGAGGTGCTAAGACCTCTTGTTGTTCATAATATAGCCGCCATTAGGCTATTTTAACCACCCCAGCTGGGGGATGAGGTAGCGACAGCCTGAAAATTCTCACGAGACTCGCAAATGAGGGCATAACGACCTTCAGGTCGTCTCATTATAATTGGCATCATCTATCTATGTACCATTCGTCATAAGGTCGTAGGCTTTTCTGTTGCTTCCGGTTGTGTCGGCTTTTGAGCTGATCATGTCTGTCAACCGATATTCATTCTTTATCCCCCAATCAATGCAAGATGATGCTCGACCCAATGCATATGTCGAATCCAAGTATGTTCCAGAAAGGTAAGGCCCAACGCGGGCTCCGAACGCGATAGAACGCCGCCTGAGAAAGAAAACCAGACCCAGTGCGCCACCGCCTGGATCCTGCAATATTTTAGAGCGCCATCACGCACCTTGCGTGAGTTATTCGATCCGAGCCGACTGTTGAGACGCCACACTATTCCGCAAAGCAGGGTTTCTGCTCTTTCTGCTCAGCCTCTTCTCTCTCACCATCGGGATGCCCGCCACGTCTGTGGCACCCGACATTTGGGACACCATACTGCCCCTCTGTCTCCCGTCGTCGAAGGCGTGGGCTTTTGTCGGCAAGGGTGTAATAATACCGTGGTCGCGCGAACTTCTCCCGTCGCTTGAAGTATCGCGATCAACTCCTTTGCCCTTCTCATTTAGATCATCCGTCTTTCTTCTTGTGGACAAGGCTGCGATGGCGCCACCACCGAGGAGTGCAGACCTGAAATCAAAGAACCGCTCTTGGAGAGACTTCTCTGACGTCTCATCCATGAACATCCAGATGATGCCAGCAATTAACAACGCAAGGACAATGAAGGTCAAAATTGCTGCTCCAGCCGTCTCGCCGGGACCGAGAGGCGGGAGGACAGCGACGGCAGGGACTGTTCGGCCAATGTCATTACCACCGGCACCTGGATCGCCCACAGAGGTTCCGCCGCCACCCGCAGTGACCGGTGCTTTTGACTCGTCAATGAGGTTGCTGAGTGTGACCTCAAGGGCGGCCATCTGCTCTCCAACGCCTTGCATGCCATCCCAGGTCCCGTTTTCTGTCCACTTCAGCCCACACATTCGACCGTTTGAGCCACCCTTGCACTGAGCTGCGGCGGCGATCGACGATGGTCGGAGTTTGTCCATGACACGATCGTGAAGATATGGCGCCCATTTCGTGATGGCAGCCATCCAACGGCTGAGGTACGCCTTGAAGGATCGCTGGTCAAGGTTGCAAAGTTCGACTGTTTCGCATGCCACTTCTTGCATGATGTTGGTTTCCGGACCAACGAAAAACACATCGGAACCTTTCATGAGACCATCGAGCCTGTTCTTCCACACTTCGCTGCCGGTGTGGTTGTACATGGCTGCTGCTCCGAGTATCATGCCGCCAGCGTTATAGGTCCATTGATACGGTACGATGTTCGTGCAGTTGTACTGGATGTGGCCGCCATCGTATACATAGTAATCGTCCGAGATGAACTTGACGCCAACCATCCAATCCCATGTCTTGTCGGCCCATTCCGCGTACGAGGAGTTACCGGTGTACAGCGCGAGACGACCAGCCAAGGCGAAGAAGCAGGCCTGCGAGATGGTGTTCTTGTAGTCGTATCCGTTATTCCATTGGAAGATCTGCCACCTCAGTCCACCTGCGCAGTGATCCGGATCCCATCGAGCGGCCTGTGTGTTAAAGACTGCCTGAGCGAGGGCAAGCCACTGAGGTTGGTCTGAGGGCGGGTCGGGGAACTTAAGCTCGGCTGCCGTCATGACGGCAAGTCCCCAGAATCCCTGGTCGTCGTTACCCTCGGTTCGTGTCTGGTTCTCTGGCATGTAGTCGTTGAATTTGCCGACTTGGTGGAGGAGGCCCTGGGTGACAACATCGTTCCAGGTATCGTCGCCTGTGAAGTACCAGTAGTCGATCATCGTACCCATCATAGCACCAGCTTCCCACCCTAAAGCCATGTCAGCTAATGAGCCGAATAACCAAGCAGTTCACTTACAGTAGTATGGGTCGGGAAGGAGACCGGGTGTTTTCCCCGGCTTGTCTCCGTCGTAGAACGACATGAGATCTTCCGTCATCTTCCTAGCAATGGACTTGACGTTGCCTTACGGAACATGTTAGTAACAGGTGCAAAGTGGTGGGTTGAGGCCACTGACTGGGATCATTCACGTCCAGGTCGTATGCAGTGGTGAACTGATTAGACACCAGCAGCAAGGCCGACAAAAGCCGGCTTACAGACCATGTTGACGTGCCCCGCAGTGCGGCCATGATGTCGGAGGTTGGTGCGTGAGGGGTCCTTGGCTTGAAGGGACGGACCGCATGAAAGACGGAACTCTAGATCCAAAGAACCGGGGGGCAGTCGAAGACTAAATGCCAAAAAAGAGGGATGCGCGGGCACCTCAAGGTTGAAATAAGAAACCAGCCAACAATTGATTGCATCAGGTGGAGGAATCCTTAGCGCAAACGAAGCCAGCAGGGCGTGCGCATGGGTAGTCGAGCCACGTTTGTGAGGTGATGGAGCAAGTCAAGGGTCGATGAAGTGCTTCGACAGGCTGACAAGTTGGTTGGCGGTGTCCAGGCCCGGGTGCTTGCTGCTTCGTCCTGCGGTTGGGTTGCCTTCCAGCACACAGCAAAGCGACACCTTCACACTTGGGAAGGTAGGTGTACTTGTATGTAGGGATGCAATGGCGAGTGCAGAGTTTCCTGCAGGTTGGACGCCCCCAAGGAAGTAGTGGCACCTTGTCAGTCTGGCCGTCGGATCGTGCAGGGCCAAACCAAAGCAGCCACGAGGAGGGGATGATGAGGGGAAAGACTGAGAAGGGGTGAGTGATGACGGTGGACTTGCGCTGGCCTCCACCGGGTTACTTTTCCACCCGAGAAAGAAAGAAGGTGTGGTGTGCAACTGCAAAGAGGAAAACGAGTGGCTGCCCCCCAAGGGTAAATACGAGCTGCTTGGTCAGGAGCGATCGAGGGAACGGAACGAGGCCAGTCAAGAGACCATGCAAGAGAAGGTGAGCGGCGGAGGTCCACTAATAGCTTCCTCTTCGGAGCAGCATCAATACGAATAAAGGGTTAATTGTAGGTACATAAGTATGTATGTACGAATACAAAGACCAAAGACGAGATTCGCCTCCGTTTCTCGCAGACTGAAACGGGGGAAAACAAATAGGCCAGAGACAGAGCTAAACAGAAACACAGGCATGGGAAACGAGAGCATTTCGGGACTGGTAAGACTGGGGAAATCAGTCAGGAGAAAGCGCGCAACCAGTTGAATAGCAAGACTGGCCCCCTTCCAGCCGTAAAGGTAGCTGTCTCACACTCCTCGCCGCCGCTGGGCTGCGTAGTGTTATGCGTGTTGTGTTATGATCCCATCTTTTTTGCATCACTCCCGCCTGCCGTCTGGTCCGCCCTGGGCTTTTGCCGCCTTCCTTGCTTGTTTCTGCTTCTAGCGTTGGCATTGGCAGCTAAGCTTGTTCGGCGTGCATGTGGTGGTGCACCATCTCATCATGTCCCCAGCCGGCTGCAGTCCGAACCCTTGTCATCCCATGAGCTTGGTGCTGTCCCCTGCTGACTTGTCGCTGGCATCCCCCAGCCTGCACAACGTAAGGTGATGCGGTGACGTTTTCGGGTCCCGCTGGCTGTCTTGTGCCCTGTAAGAAACACTGATTGATTATTGATGCGTCCAGCTCTGCCCTTCCCGCCAATTTTCTCATGTCAGACAAACCTGGGTTTTGTCTGCAGTCTGTCGAAGCCATGGCTTCTATTGTCTGAGTTTGGCAGTGACGGGCAGAGAGGGAGATGCTCGAGCTGAGTCGACTTGTGGCTCGAAGCGTCTGCCCAACCGTCTTCTCAGCTCTGCGCTGCGACCCCGTCCTGTCACCAGTGCAGTGCGGTGCGGTTGTTAGAAAGCCGCTTGGAATCCAGCTTGAATAAAAACTGGACTGGTTGACGTCGGTGATCAGCAGGCTCCGGGGGCCTGGTAGCCAGCGACAAGGCCCCAGTGCCGATGATCCCGGACTCGACAGTGGGCAGGGCGGCCAAGCCCGACAACCGACGAAACGTCCAGGCCTTTGCCGTGCCGTCGTATTGCAGCCAGCATGCTCATCATCGCCAAGGGACGAGAACGTCGAGCGGTAAAACGAGCGGGGAAAGTTGAGCGTTGGCCAAGATTTTCCGCTGCGGACGGGGACCTTAGACTTCCACCTTCGTCGTTGTCGGCAGCATATGCGATCAAGACGATGATGTCCTGAGAAAAAAACTAAACACGCTACTCGGCCGATTAGCGGCGCATCGACATCGACAGGTCCGTTTATCTCTAGCCGCTCTCAGCTCGTAACGCTTTAGCGCTGGTGCGAGCGGGTAAGCTCATACTCGTGAACGGTCAAGTCAAGTACCAGTTGTCCGCCCCCATTCCTGTGGTGTCAAACCCCGACCACTCTTAACAGAGGGGCCAAAAACAACGAAACCACGAGTCCACCGTTCGCGAGGGTGGCCGTTAGTAAGGCTTTTGCATGGCGAGTGCAATGCTAATCTCGAATAAGCATCTTTTAAGGAATGCAGCACGGCCGTCGGCCCAGGCAACAGAGAAACGGAATGCCAGCGGGGCATCTAGATACGGGGCGGCTTTGTCATCGCCAGGGGCTCTGGCATTGAACCTCATCTTGCGACATTGCTGTGTGTGGGAGGCGCAAATTGTTCTCGGAGGGTTCCATTCCTCGAAAAGTGACTTGACGGGACAGTCATGATTGACCTGATCGGCCTCGTTGGCTTCTGCAAACGGTTAAAAACGAGATTCCCATCGTCCAACGACATTCGACTTGAAAGCCGATGAAACCGTGTTGTAACAGTTGAGGGCGAATGGAGGGCGTTGCAAAACAGCCTAACGCTTGCAGAGTGCTTCAGCCGTGTATCTCTGGAATCGAGCCTTCCAGCAGCAACCTCGCTGTGGTCAGGCTGAGAAGATTGTGTGGTTGCGAATCGCAGGGTGCGCCTCCGCTGCAACGTATATCGACGTGGCTGTTCGCATTGCTGCTCCTGCTTCGAGGTGCCTTGACGAATACTGACAACGTGCGACGGAGGCAAATGGTCTTTTCCAGTTCTCAACGGCAAACGCTCCGTGTCCGACAGAGTCAACGTCGGGTTCAACGACGTTGGCCGACTTGACCGGTGCCTTTCCTTGAGCGGCGGTTGAGCACCGCAAAGTGTGATTGCGTGGCCAGGGTCTGAACGTTGAGAGCAGATCAACCGAGGGGCCTGAATCTCGCAAGACAGACTCCCGTCGATCAGGGGCAGATGAAGACATGTTGCATTCGTGGCCACCAAACAGAAGCCCGCGTATTCAAACGCTGATGGAATCCAATGGCTGTTGGAATGACAGTAGCCGAGAGGATTCTGGGCAATAGCAAAGCCACACGACTGCGCCACATACAAGCGGGCCTGCCGCTGTCAGCCACTATACGCCGGGTAAGCTTCGGGTAGAGCCTGTGATTTTGTATCATGTGGAAGGCTTTCACGTGCATCGAAGTGAGCCGTCGTCTGGTCCCAGCCGCCGGGCATGAAGGACCTTGACGGGAAGGGGCCAACTCGCCGGGCCAATTCAGCTCCGTCGGGGTCCAGGTCCTGTCCAGCAGCAGTGACGAATGCGCAGCACCGCCTCGACGATTACATCAGAAGCCGCGAATCTACGGCATTGGTTGGTGAAAACGCCTCCTTCCTGCACAGCTTTCCTAGCTGCCCAGCCCTCCTCAGCCCAAATCAATACGGGCGAGGCATACGATTGAGGCGGATAGAGACGGCGACCGGCGAAGGCGATGGAAAAGAGGCACCAGGCTGGCTGGCTGGCAGGGCAGGGTCCGATCATCCAGTGCTGTCTTGTTCGTATCCATACGGAGGTAAGCAAAGCAGGGAAGGCAAGGTAACCATGGAAATGGTGGTCCCTGGCATGAGGGATGCGTGACCAGCGACCAGACTCTCATTGACAGACTGCGACCTCAAGGCGTCGCCGTGCCGGCCATCGGATTGTGTTGCAGAGATGACGAGGAAATGGCTGTGCTGTCCCGGAGACACGCTTCCAGATTGTTTGGTCCAGGGAACATCCATCGCGGCGCCTTTGTCATGTTTATGGAAAGTCGGGCACACTTTTGAGTTAAAGGCGACGAGCCACTGCGTTCAGTGTTCACGACTTCGTGTTGTCCACTTTTTCCGGGTTCCCCAGGCACCGGACGGGGGTTGGAGGTCGCTGCAGAGCGATACGTACCGCACTGCCCGTGTGTGATTTGCTCGAAACGCCGGCCATGATTGGCCCTCAGGTGCTGCTCCAGCGAGCGCCGTCCCCAGTCCCGTCCACTCCCACTCAGGTCTCCAACAGTGGCCGTGCTGAAGCTGCCGCGCTGTGGTTTCTGTTTCGCTCCGGTGCCCTGGGTCTGAATAAGAGACCGGGTATTCGTGGGCAAGGGAAGGGAGTATTCCCCATCACGGCGCATCCCGAAGGCGGCAACAAAGGGGACAAAAACAACGAGGGGAGAAACCCAGAGAACAGCAGGAAACCGCAGGCAAGGGGGAAACATGGCAATGAACAGCAAAGTAAACTCGGGATGACATGTCCTGTCGGAATCAAGAGCGAGCAACCTAACCTTAGAGACAATCACTCACTCATCCATCGCCAGCCCGGCTGGAGGAGGGAGGTTTGTCGCAGTGGCTGGGCGTTCCCAGCTCAACTAAAATTAGTGGCCCAGTTGGCTTGCCAGCAGCTTCCCTCCTTCCGGCCCCCCCAGCACACTCAGCAGGCACCTCGTCCTCAAGCGCTGTGCCACTGCGCATCCCTCCCCCAAATCCTCAGACGGACACCTTGTTTCGGCCGGGCTCTCGCCTCTTTTCCAAGACGTCTCATCACCTGAACTTAACCACCTCATCAACCTCCCACGCCCGCCAACCACCCATCCTTTCTCCTCTTTTTTTCCAACCACACTACACCTTCGACCGCCTACCAAACTACTGCTACCGATCCTCATCTGCCTCGAGCAACAAACTCCCGGCCATCACCGAATTCTAAATCTTGCATCTCGCAACTCCGAAACATATTTTAATCGACCCGCTTGCCGCGTCGACCCGCTTCCGCATACCCTTTTCGCACCTCCGTCACCACAGCGACAATGCCCGAAGACGCCCCCTACGACCCCTACATCCCCAGCGGCCAGGCCGCCGGCGGCGCGCAACAGCAAGGAGCTGGCGGCAATGCGAGGACGCAGGCTTTGCAGGCTGTAAGTTGCGATGCTTTTCTTGGCCGAGCTCGCTTTTCTCTCGATGGACTGGATCGTTGGTTGCCCCGGATTGTCTGACGCCTGATGACGACGACCCGACCGAGCTACCCGCCCGATTGAACATGTCGCCCATGACGCCTGATTGGGTCATCACAACAATTCACCAGCACAACCCGCTGATCGCGATGACCACGGCAATAATGGCGGCGATTGACAGAGGGACGATGTACGGTCGCTGTTGGGCTTGCTATCGCGACGGGAAAAAATCAGCCCCTGTCTGGCTATGCGGGTGTCCAGTCTTTCAGCCTGGTGACGACATTAGCGACCGCGACGGCAACAACGAAGACTGCATCGACCGGATTCCATCAGCGGTCTTCGTGGAACCCGACGCCAAATTTCTCCGTCATCCGCCGCTCGAAAACCCGATTCTCGCGTTTTTCCGTCGTTGGCGTCGCAATCAGGGGCCGGATCCGTTTCGCTAACTGCGCGCTCGTAATCGTGTCACCAGAGTCATGTGCTGACGTTTCTATTTATAGCAAATCGACGACACCGTCGGCGTGATGCGTGAGAACATCAACAAGGTCTCCCAAAGAGGCGAGCGTCTTGATGCTCTGCAAGATAAGACCGACAACCTGGCTGTCTCGGCCCAGGGCTTCCGTCGGGGCGCCAACCGCGTCCGCAAGCAGATGTGGTGGAAGGACGTCAAGATGCGCATGTGCTTGATTGCCGGCATCATCATCCTTATCCTCATCATTGTCATTCCAGCGGGTGCGTTTTCCCCCTTCAGTGCGCCTTTCCTTTGGATGGTTCGCATTTCTTAAGTCTCGTTCGGCTCTAATCTTGGTTTTGCAATTTAGTCGTTGCAACCCGCTAACTTACCCGCCCAGTTGTTGCTACCCGCAAGTAACTAGATACCACCATTTTTGCATCACACGACCCCCTGGGTCCATGGTTATGGTCCGTCCTCATGATATGGAATGAAACGTCAGATATCTCGCAGGCTTCGAGCAACCGTGGGAGACTAGGGGAAGAGTCGGCACACAGGGCCAACTCTATGGGATAATGACTTGGGAAAGGGGCGGAGGTTGTTCGAGACGGACTCCGATCTTCTTCGATGGTCTGCATGCAAGAGGCTGTCGGCCGGCTACGGAATCCGCTCCGGTGCAGTCGGCCCGGTCAGTTCGGCTGCGGATCGACCGCATGTATGTATGAGGGATGGCAGGCGTTTGCGTAATTGAATTCTTAAATGGCCCTGAATATGCGTCTGTTTCGTCTCTTCGTGAAGAACCTGTAGATTATCTTCGGTGATGCCCTGCAGCTAATCAGCATCTCCTGAACACACTCTGGGGCGGGACTCAGAGGATGATGCTCCGTAGCACGAAGTGAGATAGCAGATATCCCGTGTCTGTATTTTAGCATCTCGAGATAGTGACATGTCCAAGAACGCGAAAGAAGCTCTTTGCAAGGCAGTCTGCGAGAGAATGCATCGACATCTTCCACATCATGTGATGAACCTACACATCTTATGGGAGCATCTACAAAGTGATCTACAACGGGCGCGGTGCAGTCGGTCCCCGAGTCTATGATTCACGATCGATACGGATACCCATATGCGCCTTAATTTCCATTACGTCGTATATGGAGGTAGTCCGAGATGGAGGGGGGTGTCTAGACGTGCAGCCGAACAACGTGCTCAAGAGGGAACTTGTCTTTTTTCTCCAGTGTTCAAGGGTGTCTTGGCCGAATGAGACGGGGTCCTGAAACGTCGTGGCCCAAAGTCATCGGCTGTCCTGCCGATGGGCATATGCAGTGTGGACGAACGGAATCACACAAGGGAGGCACTGCGCAGAATAGTATCCTTGGAAGAGGGGACGGGATCCACGATGTCGAGCGGTGTATCGAATGCAAGCTTAACGGGCGGCCGGCGTTCGGGGGGTTCAGGGCCAGGTTCGTCTCATCAAAGCTCGGAGGGGATCGCCGTTCCGTCGGCGTTGCAAGAGCTTGGCTACGGAACCGAGGAGGCGTTTAAAGTTGCATTTCCGCTGTTTGCAGGTTCCCACCGGTTCCTGGGAACAGACGGTCCAGAGGGACGGGGAGGTTGTCGCTGGTACTGATGCTACTGTTGCGTTTCTCCATGTTCAGGCTGAAAGTCTTTCCGGTGGTTGTGCAGTTATTTTCAACCTCATCGCCAACGCTCATCATCTCAGTCACCTTGGGGTGTGTTGCGAAGTACTGATCTTGTCGATTCCTGGAAGGTTGCGACGTCGTGGCTGCCTCGGCTCGAGCTTGCGTGCTTCTTCTTGTGTGCCTCCTTCCCCACCGGGCAAGATGAAAATTTTCAAGTAATTGCTTTACCAGGGCAACTGCCGCAGATGCTGCCTCTTTTAGTGTCTTCAACGTCCCTCCCGCAGGACTTGGTGATGGGTACGTACCGGCAGATTCCTTATCAGATCCGATCAATAACCGGACTGTCGACCCAATTGGCCGACGGAGCCACAGGGCAGAGCAATGAGAGGCTGCGCTGGGCGGGCGAGGAGCCACACTTGGAGGGGAGGAGACACTGGACACACTACTGAGGGGAGGGGGGATGAGGAGGGGGGCCACAGTGTGCCACAGCCCACTCTGGCAGTCACCCACACTGCCCTGGTCACAGTGCGCAAGTACCTTACCCGGCGACAGACCTACAGCTGCAGCAGCAGAGGTGAGGTGCAGAAAGGGCGCGGACCTGCCGCCTGTGAGCGGTTTCGGTCAATTTTTTTTTCTTACGGGCTGTGAGCGCAGGTGCAGTGCTCGCGCGCTCGGAGCCCCCCCTGCCCCTCCTCCACACCTCCACTGCATCACACTGTACGCAGACCAAAGTGCCCACACTCGCCGGCCTGCCCACCACAGCAAGCAGCAACACTAGCAGCAGCCCACCATCCACCCGCCCACCACGACGTCCAGTCCAGTCATAGTCTCGCAGGCCTCAAAAAGTAAAAAGCCTCGCTACTGCTCCCGACTCTTGCCCTTCTCCCCTCCCGCTCCTCGAACATAGTCCCTCTTTGCTTGCTCTCCCCCGTCCGCAACTCGTCTTTTCTGCCCCGGGCTGCCAATTGAGCCTCTTGTTCCCTCGTTGGCGTCGCCAATTGACCAGCTATCGAATCCAGCTGGCCCGCCAAAGAGCAAGAAACAGACAGAGACAGACAAGAGAGTGGTAGCTCGCTTGTCCGGGTCTGCTGAGGTGTACAGTTCAGTGTGAAGTCATACTCTGCCTGACCAATCCACCGACGTTTTGAGGTGTTCCAATTCGAAAGAGGTGTGTAGCTTACGTCCTGCCCTCTGACTCCCGGAGAATGAGAGCGGGAAAAAAAAACACACATCATGCCAATGCGGTGTTGTGCGCGACATCGGCTCGGCGCAGAAACCCCTCCTCCATACCGCTACCTTTACCACTGCCGCCGCCACAGAATGGGCTGACCTGTTTGCCGTCCAGTCCCAGTAGCCACGATGCTCTCCGCAACCTCTGCCGTTTTCCGGGCCGGCGCCCGTCGAGCCGTTCCTCGCGTCGTCCGCCAGCGTCAAGCCGTCGCCGGTGCCCGCGCCAACCCTTTCCAGCGCCTCAATGCCATCCGCGCCCTGTCCAGCACCAGCTCCCAGTCCGAGCAGGCCAACCGCGACCGCACCCGAGCCATCATCATCAGGACCCTGAGCCAGATCGGTAGCCGCCGCGAGGGCCAGCAATACCTCTCCTACTTCACCTCCGTCTCCTCCCAGAAGTTCGCCGTGATTAAGGTTGGCGGTGCCATCCTCACCGACTACCTCGATGACTTGTGCGAGAACATTGCCTTCCTCTACGAGGTCGGCCTCTACCCCGTCATCGTCCACGGTGCTGGCCCTCAGCTCAACCGCCTTCTCCAGGAGGCCGGCGTCGAGCCCGAGTTCGAGGAGGGCATCCGCGTCACCGACCCCAAGACCCTCACCGTCGCCCGCAAGCTGTTCCTCCAGGAGAACATGAAGCTCGTTGAGAAGCTCGAGAGCCTCGGTGTCCGCACCCGTCCTCTGACCACCGTCCTGACCGCCGACTACCTCGACAAGGAGAAGTGGAACCTGGTTGGCAAGATCACCAGCGTCGACAAGGCCCCCGTCGAGCTCGCCATCTCGCAGGGCTACGTCCCTATCCTCACCTCCATGGCTGAGACCACCGAGGGCCAGATCCTCAACGTCAACGCCGACGTCGCTGCCGCCGAGCTTGCCCGCGCGCTTGAGCCCCTCAAGATCGTCTACCTCTCTGAGAAGGGCGGCCTGTTCAACGGCGAGACTGGCGACAAGATCTCCCACATCAACCTCGACGAGGAGTACGACCATCTCATGTCCCAGTCTTGGTGCCGCTACGGTACGCGCCTCAAGATCAAGGAGATCAAGGAGCTTTTGGAGACCCTGCCGAGAACCTCGAGCGTTGCCATCATCCACCCTAGTGATTTGCAGAAGGAGCTGTTCACTGATTCCGGCGCCGGCACCCTAATCCGCCGCGGCGACAAGATCGAGTCTGCCGACAGCATCGCTGCATTCCCCGACCTTGCCAAGCTGAAGCAGACCCTCATCCGTGACAGGGAGGGTATGGATGCCGAGGCCACCGTCGACCGCTACATTGAGTTCCTCAAGGGTACTCCCTTCAAGGCCTACTACGACGAGCCCCTCAACTGCCTCGCCATCGTCCTGCCCCCCAACGCCGAGCGCTCTCACCCGACCCTCGCCACCCTGACCGTCACTAAGGAGGGCTGGCTCAGCAACGTCACGGAAAACGTCTTCCATGCCATCAAGAAGGACCACCCCAAGCTCGTCTGGACCGTCAGCGAGGAGGACGAGAACCTCACCTGGTTCTTCGACAAGGCCGACGGCAGCTTTTCCAGCAAGGGCAACCAGCTGTTCTGGTACGGCATTGACAACCTCCAGGAGCTGGGTGTCCTCACCGATGAGTTCAACGCCCACGGAAGAGCCATGCTCGGCGACTCCAACCTCGAGGCCCGTCTGCGCCGCGCCGCCCAGGTTTCCAACCGCAACCTGTCTCAGTCTAGCCAGCCCGCTCAGGCTCGCGCATTCTCCACCATGGCCCGCCGTCCTCAGTGGGCCCCGGCCGCCGCCCGTCTCAACGGCAAGCGCACCTACGCCACCACCACCAACCCTAACCCTCCCCTGGGAAAGAAGAACGCCTCTAACGACGTTCCCTCCCGCGTTGCGCTGATTGGTGCCCGTGGCTACACCGGCCAGGCTCTCATCGACCTCATCAACTCCCACCCCAACATGGACCTCAGACACGTCTCCTCTCGTGAGCTTGCTGGAAAGAAGCTCGAGGGATACACCAAGAGGGAAATCACCTACGAGAACCTGAGCCCCGACCAGGTCACCGAGCTCGAGAAGAAGGGTGCCATTGACTGCTGGGTCATGGCTCTCCCCAACGGTGTCTGCAAGCCTTACATCGAGGCCATTGAGGAGGCTCGCAAGGGCGGCGCTGACCACCGCAGCGTCATTGTCGACCTGTCCGCTGACTACCGCTTCGACAACACCTGGACCTACGGTCTTCCCGAGCTCACCAAGCGCTCGGAGATCTACAAGGCTGATAAGATCTCTAACCCTGGCTGCTACGCCACTGCTGCCCAGCTCGGTATTGCTCCTCTGGTCGAGCACCTCGGTGGCGCCCCCTCCGTCTTTGGTATCTCCGGCTACTCTGGCGCTGGTACCAAGCCCTCCCCCAAGAACGACATCAACATGCTCAGGGACAACCTGATGCCTTACAGCTTGACGGACCACATTCACGAGCGTGAGATCAGCTCCAAGCTCGGTGCCGAGGTTGCCTTCTCCCCTCACGTCGCCTCTTGGTTCCGCGGCATCCAGGCCACGATCCACATCCCGCTTAACAAGACGTTCACC